CTCCAGCGCCGCGTCCCACGCACCGTTCAGGATGTCGCACGCAAGCTTCCCCCACTGTGCCGAGAAGGCCTCGTCGGCAGAGCTGGTCAGCAGCCGGAAACAGCTCAGCATGCTCGCAGCGGCGCCGTAGTTGCCGCAGTCGTAGGTGAACTTGGCGTACTTGCCCAGCGCCGCGACGTGCTCCGCGGTCACGCTGTGCTGCTCCAGCAGGAACGCCGGCGTGAAGCACCGCTCCGCGCGCAGGTTTGCGACGAGCGGCCCGTCCGAGACGATCTGGTACAGCGGGCCAACCTCGAGCTGCAGCGCCGTGAGGGCGGTCATCACCTCGTCGCGCTTCGCCCGCATCTCGGCGGGCACCTCTCCCTGGTTCAGCTTTGTGTAGATCTCCATCGCAAAGTCGACCATGTTTGTCTTCTCCAGCACCTGCAGCCGCGCGGCGTCGAGCTCCGAGTCGGGGAAGATCTTCTTCGATCCCAGGAAGTCGAGCAGGGGCAGGAGCATGTGCCGGTCGAGGTACTTGCCCACGGTAGCCGTCAAGTCCGTGGACGCCATGGCAAGGGGCGGCGGAGGTGCTGCAGACCTGCGTCGCGGGCTGCCTTCAGAAAAGAATTAAAGAATGCAAGTCTGTCTCACAGAAAAGAAAAATCGAAAAATACAATTTATGACGGTCCAACCTCGCCGCGCGCAGAGCATGCCGCTCCCCGACGCGTACAGTAGCGAGATCGGTGTGCGCGAGCGTGGGCGGTTACTGGAGGAGGACCGTGTTAGAGAGAGAGAGAGAGAGAGAGAGAGAGAGATCTCTCTCTCTCGGACCGTGTTACTTAGGAATGGCCGTAGGCGTAGCTCCTCTCCACGAACCACGAGCGATTCAGAAGACGTACCAAGTGTCGATTCTGTATAGAATTGTGAGGCGCACACGCTGGTGCAGGCGGCGAGACGTCGATCCGACTCGTTCCAATGATGTGTTTTCTGCCCGAGTTCACCGAGGTCCTCGTACTCAAAGCGCTCCGGTGGCCATTTGCGAACTCCGACGCACTCTACCCAGCAAGCTCAGCTAGATGTTCTGGGCTATCCGGGGTCCGTCCACAGCCTCACACCCTCCGGCAGCGTGGCTGCGCCCTGCGGCGCGCTCTCCCCACCGCCGCGCATGGAGCCGCCTGCGTGCGAGCCTCGGACCAACGCGGCGACCCGGCCCATCGACGCGCACCCTCGTCCCAGCCTATATCTCGTCCTTTCGGGCCCGCGCCCGCAGCTCCTCCAGCTTCGCCTTGTGCGCGGCCGTCGCGCCCGACGCCTCCTCGTCCTCGTCCTCGTCCTCGTCCTCGTCGTCCTCGTCGTCGGCGTAGTCGATCTCGTCGACGCCCCCCTCCGCCATCTCCGGCTCGTCCATCCCGTCGTCGGCCGACTCGTAGTAGGTTGCAATCTCGTCCTCGCGGTCCTTGAGCAGCTCCGCCATGTCCTCGCTCCTCGCAGAGGCTTTGGCGCCAAAGTCTGCGCGCGGCGGGCGGACGAGGGGCGGGACTGGGTGCGTGGGGTGGGCCGCGTTCGGGCCCGCAGCGGCGGATCTGTCGCCACACACCCGCGAGCTCCTCCTCGCCGTCCGGGAAGAACTCGCTCGGCCGCTTGCCGTCGGCGTCCTCGGCGGTCTCGTCGACCTCCAGGTGCGTGAGCAGCGCGAGCACGTCCGAGTTCTTGTACTCGTACGCCCAGAAGAGCGGCCCGCGCCCATCGGCCGAGCGCGCGTGCGCCATGTCGCGGCCGCCCTGAGCGAGCACCTGGATCAGCCCGTCCAGGTCGCTGCTGCTCGTCGTCTCCCACATCTTTGTGAGGGCCGGCGAGTCCGCCCAGTCCTCGCACGCCGCGAGCCCGACGAGGAGCGAGAGGAGAAGGCGCATTTCCGTGAGAGCAGCGGTGAGGAAGGAGCGGCGAAGGAGCGGCCCCCCGCCGCGATACAAACACTGTTGATGACGTGTGTGCGAATAAAAAGACAGGAAATTTACCTCGACCGTCCCACCCACCGTGCATAAATTATTTCCTTTTTATACCTAGGGTTTTGTCCAACCCAGAGCCATTCTGCACGGTGCATCCTCGCTCATCGTCCGCTCTGTCAGATCGAGACCATACGCGCGCCGCGGCTGCTCTGCTCGCTCGTCCTCCACCTTTCTCCAAGCGCTCGGTCCGCATGTGCATCTGCGTGGCCTCACCCGGGGCGTGGCAAGGGGCCGCTCCGATGGGCTCGGGTAGCCCTCAGTGTCTCTGGCTGCCTGCCCCCTGGCCGGTTTGGCCTCTTGCCTCTGTGCACTGTAGACCCCCCAAAGCTTCCCAAGTCGCGAGTGCAATGCCGCCCTCTCTCGCGTGGGTGTATTTTTTATCAAATTGATCATCTCCGACGAGAGCAAATACACGTGAGACGTGCGTCACGTCACACAGAGACAGACCGCACACGTCACGGCACACGGCACAGCTCTAAAGCCGTAGGTGCCCCCCCCCCCCCCCTTTCCATTGCGCATGGACAGACACACCTTTGGAGCCGCCTTCGAGATTCATGCGAGGACGGCGAGGCATTGCCCCCCCCCCAGACAGGCTCATTGACAACCTGCTCTGCTCCCCCTTCGCTCACTGCCCCAGCCGCCACGCCTCGATCTTTTTGGGCCGCAGCTGGTTCGACAGGTCTTCTCCTTGTCCCAATCGACCATAGGCTCCATGGCCCCAGCTCCAGAAGCTTCCATCGGCGGTGAAGGCGAGGCTATGGGTGGATCCAGCCGACACGGCGACGACGCGCCGCCCAGCCAAGGCCTCAATCTTCTTCGGCAGTAGCTGGATCTGCTGGTCGCCGTGGCCCAACGGGCCAAAGAATCCCTCACCCCAGCTCCAGATGCTGCCGTCGGCGGTGAGAGCGATGCTGTGGATGTCTCCAGCCGACACAGCGACGACGCGCTGGCCAGCAAAGGCGTCGATCTTCTTGGGCAGGAGCTGGTTCTGCACGCCACCGTGGCCCAGGCCGGAGTGGCCCCAGCCCCAGCTCCAGACACCGCCCTCGGCGGTGATGGCGAAGCTGTCGTGCGCTCCAGCGGATGCAGCGACGACGCGCCGCCCCGCCAAGGCCTCGATCTTCTTGGGCAGCAGCTGGACCTGCAGGTCGCCGTGGCCCAGCTTGCCATCCTCGCCAAAGCCCCAGCTCCAGACGGCGCCGTCGGCGGTGACTGCCATGCTGTGCTCCTGCCCTGCTGACACAGCGAGGACGCGCTGACCCGCCAAGGCCTCGATCTTCTTCGGCAGCAGCTGGTTCTGCTCGTCGCCGTGGCCCAGCTTGCCCCGGTGTCCATATGGCCCCAGCGCTCCAGACGCTGCCGTCGGCGGTGAGGGCGAGGTTGTGCACCACAGACTTTTTTTGCAACTAGTCTGCACGACTTTGTGTGTGTGTGGAGACGTTTACCTTACCTAACCTTACCTGCACCGCCTCCAGGCAAGTCGGTGCGAGAGGCGGCCCCTCGCGCCTCCCCCCGATTGCTAGACGCGTGCGTGCTCCGGGCCGCCCCCGGCGAAGCGGCAGCGAGGCCGCACGTGAGCACGTGCCGCGGGCGCGCCCGCCTCAGTCGTCCTCCTCGTCGCTAAAGACGATCTCGTCGTCGCTCTCCTCCGCCGCCATCTGCGCCTCGCGCTCCCGGATGCGGCGCTGCTTCTCGGCGAGCCTCTCCGCCTCCTCCGCCCGCAGCGCCTGCAGCTGCTCCGCCTCGAGGTCGACCTCCTTCGCCTCCGCGACCAGCGACGAGAACCAGCCGCTCTCCGCCTCGAGCTCGTCGCCGTACTGGCACTGGTCGAGGCGCAGCACCTGGCGGCCGGAGGGGAGGTAGGGGGAGGGGGGGGAGGGGGGGAGGGGGAGGGACGCCCGGGAGGTGGCCGCGGTCGGACGCCGGGCGGGAGGGAGGAGGAGGCAGGGAGGGAGGAGGGGGCAGGGAGGGAGGAGGGGGCAGGGAGGGAGGAGGGGGCAGGGAGGGAGGAGGGGGGTTTGTCACGGGGGGGGGGGGGGGTTGAGGGTTAGGGGCTCCGGGCCCCCGGGGTTGAAAGGGCACCTCCAGGATGAGGTTGACGTCCGTCGGCTTGAAGGCGAGGAGCTTCTCTTTGTTGCGGCCGAAGACCCCCAGGGAAAAGCGGAAAAAGAAGGCGTGCCCGTGCTCGAGGAACGCCTAAGGGAGGCTCCGAGAAGGCTCGGAGCAGGCTCCGAGAAGGCTCGAGAAGGGCGCGCCCGAGCTCGAGGGACGCCTCGACGTAGTCGAACAGCGCTCGGAAGGGGAGGACGTGCACGCAGAGCCCGATGAGCCACTTGGAGGCGTACGCCTCGGGGACGAGGCACGCCTGCTGCAGCAGCGCGGCGACCTCCGGCTCCCGCTCCTCCGCCAGCCGCGCGTAGACCATCGCGTCCCGCACGTACGCGTCGGGCGCCGCGTGCCAGTAGCCGGGGGAGTACTTGTCGTCGCGGCCGATGCGGAGCAGCATGCGGAAGGCGGTCTCTTCGTCGAAGAGCAGCAGCAGCAGCGAGGCGATGTAGCCGAGGCCCTGGTGGTAGTCCTTGGTCAACGGCCAGACGCGGCCGAGCAGCCCGATCATGCGCTGCCGGTGGCCCTCGTCGGCAAAGGTCCGCTCGGCATCGCGGAGGAAGATGCGGTCCGCCGCCTCGTCCGGGGCGCTCGGCTCGAGCGGCGGGTCCACCTGCCGCCGACGGGCCGCGCGCGCTCAGCGCACGCTTCGCTCTGGCGTTGGCCCGCTCGGCCCGCGGGAGGCGAGGGCGGGCCTCGGCGTCAGCACCGCAGAGGCCGGGCCACGCGGCGACGCGGTCGGCCAGCTCGGCGGGGAGCGGCTCGCCCTTGGGGAGGAACTCCGCGTTGCGTCGCAGAAGCGGCGCGCCCTTCTCCTTGTCCCAAAAGTCGTTCGCGCGCAGCATCGTACGGCGTAAAGCAGCAGAAAGAATCCGTTCAAGCTGACCGCGTCACAGCGCAGGACAGGTCTACACTGGCCGCGGCACCAGCTCCCGCGGTCTGCACGCTAGGAGTGGTCCGCCCTCGCAATGAATGCGGAATACTATTACGAAAAGTACAACTAGTGCGACACACTACTCAGTCTCGTAATCGCGCCAAGAGCGCGGATACACACACAAACAACAGGCGCGGCTATGAATAGCTGCGCATATACAGATAACGACTGTTCACAGTTGGGAGAGAGAGAGTCGTCTCTAACGCTCCCCCCTAGTTGCATCGGCAACTATCTCGGACGACTCGCGCGTCTTCGGCGAAGGGGTGATGACTCACGCCTTGCCGACGGTCGCGACGAGCTTGCTCCACAGCCGGGCAGCCTGCCCCTGGAGCGTCACAGCAAAGCCGGGGCCGTTGCTGGCGTTGAGCATGTAGTCGCGACAGGTGAAGAACATAGCTCGCGTCGCCTGCGTCTTGGTGAAGACGTCGGCGATCATTTAAGCAGTGCCGACGAGGTACGGCGCGACGTGGCGGAGCATGAAGAGGCGCTTGACAAACATGGTGGCACACATTCGAGCGAGTGAAAACCAACTCCTGAGCACGGCGCCGCAGGCGCCTGTTGATAGGTCCAGGTGATAGCCCTGGATGGGCTATGCATTCGCCTACTTGGGCCTCAGATCGCCCGACCGCGTCCCGGTGCTCTGTGGTCGGATTTGTGACGCCGCCGCACCGCGCCGCGGCCGGGGGCCCGCCGGAGGACGAGGATGGCCGTGACGGACCGGGACGAGCTCTGGGAGGTTCAGTGTCAGTGAGTATATTGTAGAGGCCGTCGGGCCGAAGCCCGTCAGGCACTCTCTCCCTAACCCTAGCCTTCTCCCGAACCCTAGTGTGTTTTGTTGCCTCCGTGCTTTCACACTCGTCTCGTCGTGTCCGTCCATTGTGATTGCGGCCGTCCACGACTACGTCGTCTCTAGAGAACGTATCAACCCCCTTCTGGTGCCGACCGCGCCCCCGCGGGGCACGGCCGGACGTGGCAGCGTCAACTGGTCACGACCAGCACTTTGGGGGAGTCCCTTCACGCTATCCCAGATATGGCCGGCGAATCGATGGCGGGGAGCCTCGGAGAGGTCCCCGCCAAAGATGTCGCAGTCATCGCAAAAGCCGCTTCTGAAGAAGCCAGAGCACCACGGGGTCGTCGGACGCCGTGCCGGCTCCACCCCCGACCCCTCTGTCGGCGATGCCTCGAGTACTCCCGGGAGGCTCAGACATTGCTCCGACAGTGACTTTCCTGTCAACGCCGCCCTCGACAGAGGCCTCACACCTGCCTCTGGTGCCATCGTGAAATTTGGCCACCCCCGACCCGGGCTCCACATCTTGGCTGCACGTACCTCTGCCGGACCGCGCGATCCATCCGGCCACGGGCAAGCCATGCGACAGGACGCGCAACGAGGCGACGCAGCCTGGTTCACCGCCGAGCTCGAGGAGCTTGGCAACCATAGCGGGAAAGCAGACGATCCCCGCTTTGTCGAGCGCTTCATCCGTGGCCAGTGCACCATGGAGGAGTGCGTCGAGGCCGGCTCCACATGGTGCTACGTCACCTACGCCGAGGCCCGACGAATCGCCCTGCAGCACGGCAAAGAGTTCACTACCACTCGTGCCACTTGGGTCTACAAGACCAAGCGAAATGGCAAACACAAAGCCCGCTGCTGTCTCGACGGGTCCAGCCAGAGGTTCGGCGAGAACTACAACCAGACGTTCTGCTCCACCCTGCGCATGCCCTCCCTTCGCCTCCTTCTCAACATTGCTGCCCGCCGCGGGCTCAAGGCTCGTAGGCGCGACCTTGTCGCCGCCTTCCTCCAGGGAGTTCTCGAGGACGGCGAGATCGCCTTCATGCATCAGCCCGCCGGCCACGCCAACGCTCTCGACGAGAACGGCAAGCCCAAGCTCTGCCTCATCCTCAAGCCCCTCTACGGCATGAAGCAGGCGGGGCGGCGCTTCCAGCGCGCTTTCTTTGCTTGGCTCGAGCGTCCCCGCGACGAAGGAGGCGCCGGCCTCATCCCGTCCAAGGAGGACCCCTGCATCTACCGCATCACCACTGAGGACGACGAGCTCATCATCGGAGTCTACGTCGACGATCTCATCATCTTCTACAAGCGCGACGCCGAGTACGACGCCGAGGGGGCTCTTGTCTCCGACTCGCTCTACGCGCAGTTCGTTCGCGACATCGACGCCTCGTGGAAATCTGAGGACGAGGGCCCGCTCTCCGACATCCTCAACGTCCAGGTCACCCCACTCGCCGAGGGCGGTGTTCACGTCGGGCAGGGGCCGTACGTGCGCAAGCTCCTCGACGAGTACCTCGACCAGATCATCGCCGAGCTCCCGAACCCCGCCGAGCCCGGCGCCCGTCACTCCAACAACACGCCGTTCACCCTCAGCATCGCAGAGCGAGTTCAAGCGGCCACCGACGACACCAGCGAGAGGGAGCTGCGCGTCGTCCGCCTCTTCCAGAGCTGCCTCGGGGCTCTTCTCTACCTCGTCTCGAACACGCGCCCCGACATCGCGCTCCCCGTCGGCCTCCTCTGCCGGGCCATGGCGAAGCCCACACCCGCTCTGTTCGAGGAGGTGTACTGCGTCCTGTGCTACCTCCGCGAGTACCCTGACCTTGGTCTTACCTACAACGGTCGGGGCGAGTCGGCCGCCGACGACGAGCTCCACGCCTTCAGCGACGCCGACTGGTCGGCCCGTCGATCCACGTCTGGCTGGCTCGTCCGCCTGTGGGGCGCCACGCTTGACTGGAGGGTTCAACAGCAACCCACCGTCTCCCTCTCTTCCTGCCAGGCCGAGATCATGTCCGCCTCGGAGGCGACCAAGGACGTCGAGCAGTACCGGCGTCTGCAGGAGGAGGTCGACGCGCTCCCCGATGGCTCCCCGCGCCCGCCGACGAAGCTTTACGTCGACAACCAGGCCGCCATCGCCTCCGCCTACAACCCGGAGCACCATGGCAAGCTCAAGCACGTCGAGCGACGCCACTTCTACATCCGCGAGGCCATCGAGGCGCACCGCCTCTGCGTCCCCTTCGTGCGTAGCGACGCCAACCTCGCCGACTTCTTCACGAAGCCGCTCAAGCCCAAACGGTTCTTCGAGCTTCGTGACAAGATCATGAACATCAAATCTCCGGTCATGAACATCACGTTCCCTAACGCATCGTGATCCGAGAGTGCACGGTTACTCGACTATGTCGTTACTCGACTAAGTCGAGGGGGGGGACGTCGGGCCGAAGCCCGTCAGGCACTCTCTCCCTAACCCTAGCCTTCTCCCGAACCCTAGTGTGTTTTGTTGCCTCCGTGCTTTCACACTCGTCTCGTCGTGTCCGTCCATTGTGATTGCGGCCGTCCACGACTACGTCGTCTCTAGAGAACGTATCAACCCCCTTCTGGTGCCGACCGCGCCCCCGCGGGGCACGGCCGGACGGAGGCCACCCATGTGCACAATATCTTGACTGAGAGCTAAGCCAGGGGAGGCGATGCCGGGGCCGTACAGCAGCTTGATGGTGCTTCGCCGGCGTAGAAGCGGCCGCGGAGGGCTCCGGGTGTCTGAAAAAGACGGATTTACGTGGGCTGTGGGAGATTTACTGTCGACTCAAACGACACTGTGGCGTAATCCTCTGTGAGGCCCTGTCCTCCTTCCCATCCCTTGTTTGGGTTGAATGATGAATCATAGGGTTGCTGGCGTTCTCTTATCTCTATGTTTTTGTGTTGCTACAACTCTATCTCGGGCACAAGCTGGACCTGTGGCGTTGTGGTAGAGACCAAGTGGTGTAGGCGATGCCCGGCGAAGTTGACCGAGCTCGAGCGAGGGGAACATGTCGCAAACGGGAACCTGAAGAAAAATGTGACGCCCCGCGCGGAGCCAACCCTCGGAGACCCATGTTTACTTTAAGGCCCTTGCCCTGCGAACGCGCACCCCCCCCTAGGGGTCAGGGCTTTCCTGCCCGTAGCCCGATGCCGATCATCCGGCTCGCTGGGTGCGCTCCTCAGCTCCCCGGCCCCGGATGTGAGGTTGCCGACTGCACTCCAAGTGCTCCAAGTGACCGCCCCTGCCGGCTGTTGCTACAACTCAGAACTCTATATCTCGTATCTGAACTATCTCTTTACACAATACAGGCTGTGCTCAGTGGCACTCACCATTTACATACGATGTACAAAACGACCAGATCGCGCCGTCAGGCTCAGAGGCAGGCGGACTACCAGAACGAGCACGCCCCTTGCACCCCTCTCCTCTCCGACCGATCCGACATGCTGGAGGCAGGCGGACTACCAGAACGAGCGCACGCCCCTTGCACCTCTGACCTCTCCTCTCCTCTCTCCGATACGACATGCTGGAGGCAGGCGGACTACCAGAACGAGAGCACGCCCCTTGCACCTCTCCTCTCCTCTCTCCCATACACATGGCAACTATTGCCAGCGGCTACAGACCTCCGACGGCCAGGCCGCGCGCGCCTCACGGCTTCTTGCCCTTGCGCGCGGCCGCCACGGCGATCACGTCCAGGCCAGCGCTCTCACGGGTTGCGCGTGAGCGCCATGACTGCCGCCTCCAGCGCGGCGAGCTTCTTCTCCGTCGCCTCGAGCTTCTTCTCCGTCGCCTCGAGCTTCTTCTCGAGCGCGCCGTCGGAGGCGGAGAGGCGGCGGCCAGGGCCGGGGGTGCGGAGGTCACCGATGACGACGGTGCCGTTCTTGTACACAGTGATCGCGTCCTTGCGGTCGGATTCGCCGGTGCCGACACCCACGCGGAAGACCGCATCGTAGCCTTGCCACGCCGCGGGCACCGTGACCATCGTGCCGTTGATGTCCATCTCGAAACCCTCGAGGCGCTCGGGCCAGCCCCTCGAGGCGCAACCCTCGGGCGCCGGGCCCGGGTAGGGTTTGCCGGGTCCAAACTGGTCGCATTCGCCGATGGGATTGCGCTCGTTGAACTGACCGATCACTACCTTCATTGAGAGGGGAGGGGAGGGGAGGTTAGGGCAGCTGTGCAGGCCACGCTGCTTGAAGGGGGGTGGGGGGGGGGGGGGGGGGGAACCTCCGCAAAACTTTCTGCTTGGGTCTTGGGGCCCATCGAGACCTGCAGCGGGCAAAAAGGCGGGCAGGGGGTGAGGTGTGGGGCCCCAGGTTTGGGGCGGGGGGGGGGGGGGGGGGGCACCGAGGAAATGCCCTTTGCCAACGTGCCGTTTCCCATCGAAACCGCCATGTCAAACGCCGCCGTCTTGTAACCCGTCGACAAAGAAGCCATGCCAATCGCATTCGTCTCGTAACCCATCGCGGTCTGGGCCATACCTCCAGTGGCGACCGTTTTGTAACCCATCACGGTCGCGGCCGTCCCGCCCATAATCGTGTTGTTCCAGCCCATCACCGTATGGGCCATTCCGCCCATAACCGTGTTCCACATGCCCATCGCCGTATGGGTCGATCCGGCCATAACCGTGTTCCACATGCCCATCGCCGTGTGGGTCGATCCGGCCACAGCCTTGTTGTACATGCCCATCAATGCATGGGTCGTACCTCCCCAGAAGAAGTGGTAGAGTCCCAACATCACGGTGCCGTCCTTGAAGACCTTCACCGCGGGCTCGCAGTCGGTCTGGCTCCAGCACACGTCCGCCGGAATGTCGGCAAAGAGGAGCTCGTGGCCGGGCTTCTCCTGGCCGGCGGCAGAGGCGGCGAGCGCGAGGATCGCGGAGGTAAGCATCATCATGACCGCGTTCACTGACCTGCGAACGGGGGGCGCAAGCGGTGGTAGGGTGTGGTCGCACGGCGGCGTGGTGGCTGGCGAGGCAGGATGAGGGGGCGCGGCGCGAGGGACTGCTCGACCGGCCGTGGCCGCACCTGCGAGCGGAGGGGGGCAGGCGGTGAGGGCACTCGAGCGACGCGCCCAAGCGCAGGCGGCGCAGTGTGGGTGGAGGGGAGGAGGCGGCGGCGCGCAGAGATGGCGCGCCGCCGGCGAGGGTGTGGGACATCGGGGCGGCGGCGCGCATGCAGCGGCGTGGCGGGGGCGGGCGGGCGGGGGCGGGGGACGCGGGCGGGCGGCCGCTGCTCCGCGCCGTCGACCCACACCTGCGGAGCAGAGGCAGGAGCAGCAGGGTCAAGGTCAGCGCGGGCGTCGGGCGGAGCGCTCTCCGGCTGACGTGCGCTGTCTCGCGAGGCAAAAGGGCGGCGCGCGGCCAGGGCGAGAGCCCGTATCTGGAGTGGTGCGCAGAGAGGCTCGCCGCGCCGCGGGCGGGGCGGGCACAAGCTGGACCTGTGGCGTTGTGGTAGAGACCAAGTGGTGTAGGCGATGCCCGGCGAAGTTGACCGAGCTCGAGCGAGGGGAACATGTCGCAAACGGGAACCTGAAGAAAAATGTGACGCCCCGCGCGGAGCCAACCCTCGGAGACCCTGTCCTATACGAGAGAGGAATCCCTGGGACCCTGTCGTGTGGGTGAACCCTGCCCAGCCCCCCTCCGTGTCGCGATGCGCTCCCCGCTCCCGTTCCCCTGTGTCCCTGATCGTCCTTCCAAGATCCTGCTCGTGCAGGTGGGGACCCTGTCCCTCTCCCACCCCTCGTTTGGCGTGCCCATTTTATTTATTTATTTATTTCGGAGACCCATGTTTACTTTAAGGCCCTTGCCCTGCGAACGCGCACCCCCCCCTAGGGGTCAGGGCTTTCCTGCCCGTAGCCCGATGCCGATCATCCGGCTCGCTGGGTGCGCTCCTCAAGCTCCCCGGCCCTGGATGTGAGGTTGGTGGTTGCCGACTGCACTCTCCAAGTGCTCCAAGTGACCGCCCCTGCCGGCTGTTGCTACAACTCAGAACTCTATATCTCGTTTCTGAACTATCTCTTTACACAATACAACGTGTGCTCAGTGGCAGGTGGCACTCACCATTTACATACGATGTACAAAACGACCAGATCGCGCCGTCAGGCTCAGAGGCAGGCGGACTACCAGAACGAGCACGCCCCTTGCACCCCTCTCCTCTCCGACCGATCCGACATGCTGGAGGCAGGCGGACTACCAGAACGAGCGCACGCCCCTTGCACCTCTCCTCTCCTCTCTCCGATACGACATGCTGGAGGCAGGCGGACTACCAGAACGAGAGCACGCCCCTTGCACCTCCCTTCTCCTCTCTCCGATACGTGGAGGCAACTATTGCGCCGCCCAGCGGCTGTACAAACCTCCGACGGCCAGGCCGCGCGCGCCTCACGGCTTCTTGCCCTTGCGCGCGGCCGCCACGGCGATCACGGCGAGAGTGGCGACGCCCTTGAGGCCGAGCGAGTAGGCGGCGAAGCCGGTGGCGAGCGCCGCGTCGCCCGCCACGAGAATGACGCCGACGAGCGGCGCCGGCGCGGCGGCCTTGATCTTGGTGAGGTGCGGGACGGCCGCGGTGAAGAGCGGCTCGAGCGCGCCGTCGTAGTAGGCCTGCACCGCGGCGGGGAAGGCGGCCGCGAGCGCGTACGAGAGGGTGTACTTCGGGTAGGCCGAGAGCATCACGTCGGCGAGCCACTCGTTGCCCGTCGCCGCGAGCACGGGCTCGCCGGTGGCGGCCGCCGCGAGGATCTTGCCGGTGACGGTGATGGGGTTGATGATGCCGCCGCGCGAGTGCGAGATGGCCTCGATGACCGCGCCGTTGGAGAGGGCCGCGCCGACGTGCGCCTCGCGCGCAGGCATGAACTTGCCGTCGAGCTCGAGCACGTGGTCGGGCGTGAGCGCGAGCGAGCCGCGCGCGTGCGTGAGCGTGATGAGGAGCGAGGCCTTGCCGTCCTCGACCTTGTGCTGGTTGACGACGACGCGCGCGGCGGTGTCCGCGTCGGAGAGCACGGTGTCGCCCGCGGCGAGCTCGGACATGGGGGCGCGCGTCGCCGCGTCGCCGGCGGCACCGAGGAAGCACTGGGCGTACGCCTCGGCGGCGGGGGCCTGGGGCCGGGGGGGGGGGGGGCACGGGTGTGAATGGGCGCCTCGCTAGTCCGACTCGCCGCCTAGGGAGCGCGCCTTGGGGTCGAGGAGGCGGCACGCGTACGTGCCGCGGGAGAAGCAGGGATCGTCGCCACCGCCGCCGCCGCCGCCACCAATGGGGGCGCCGGGGGACGGCGGCGGAGAAGGCGGAGGGGACGGGGAGGGCGGCATCGAAGGTGGCGAAGGGGTGGAGGGGGGGGCGGGCGGCGAAGGCGGGGGGGTGGAGGGGGCGGGCGGGGTGGAGGGGCCATCATCGACGTAAGCACAGCCCTTGCATCCGACTTGTGGCCCGTACGCGGAGTCGCCATGGACACAAGTCTCCATCGATCCGCGACCAGCGTACGGGCCATACGGATTGCCAACCGCCGCGCACGCCGTCTCGCACGCCGTAACATCGCAAGTGTCACCTGAGATGCCCAACTGGCGGCGGGTCGGGGCCGACTGGACGGGCGTGAGGAGCGACGCGACGATCGCGAGGTAGAGCTTCATCATGACCGCGTGAGTTGACTCTACGAGGGCGAGGGCGCGCGCGGTCGGGCAGCGGGGTGGTTGTGGCGAGGCGGAGGCAGGATGGGGGCGCGGCGCGAGGGACTGCTCGACCGGCCGTGGCCGCACCTGCGAGCGGAGAGGGGCAGGCGGTGAGGGCACTCGAGCGACGCGCCTAAGCGCAGGCGGCGCAGTGTGGGTGGAGGGGAGGAGGCGGCGGCGCGCAGAGACGGCGCGTCGCCGGCGAGGGTGTGGGACATCGGGGCGGCGGCGCGCATGCAGCGGCGTGGCGGGGGCGGGCGGGCGGGGGCGGGGGACGCGGGCGGGCGGCCGCTGCTCCGCGCCGTCGACCCACACCTGCGGAGCGAGGCAGGGGGAACAGGGTCAAGGTCAGCGCGGGCGTCGGGCGGAGCGCTCCGGCTGACGTGCGCTGTGTCGCGAGGCAAAAGGGCGGCGCGCGGCCAGGGCGAGAGCCCGTATCTGGAGTGGTGCGCAGAGAGGCTCGCCGCGCCGCGGGCGGGCACAAGCTGGAGGACAACCTGTGGTGTTGTGTGTAGCTAAGACCAACTGACCAAGTCGTGGCGGCGAGGTTGACCGAGCTCCGAGGGGAACCCGGAGGGGAACCTGTCGCAAACGGGAACGGAAGAGAAAAAACTTCAGGGTGCCACACCGCCCCTGCCACCCTCGGCGTGTGCCTCGGCCGCCCCTGTCAGTGTGCCTGTGGTAGCGAGAGACTGCCAGTGGAGAAGCTGGAGGCAGGTCGCTAGACTGAGATGAGACCTGTGGTGTTGTGCGCGCGAGGAGGAGGTCGGCACCGCCGTCGGCTCGATGGCGTCGGGCGCGCTCCGCTCGGTGACGCGCGCAAGGGCGCTGGCGATCCAGCGCTGCCTGGCGGCGGTGCTCGACGACGTGGAGCAGCAGTTCGTGGGGGGGATGGAGCAGGCCTCCCGCCCCGGGCTGTCCGAGCCCTTCCGCAAACGGGCGGTGGCGCGCGTAACGACCCTGTGCGCGACCGCCGTGCACGCGCACCGGCTCGAGGTGGAGGCGGAGTACGCGCTGCTCGATATCGAGCAGAGCTGCGCGAGCGGATGGGGGCGCGCGAGCGGCGCCGCCCGACCTCAAGAAGCTGCCCGACCTCAAGACGCTCGACATGGACAGCGGCAAGCCGCCGAGCATGGAGCAGGCGCCCCTCTCCTTCCTCGCCGCGGTCGTGATGGGCTCGTGCCGGGCCCGGCGTGCCGGCCCCCGTCTCCGACTGGCTCTGCGTGCAGGTGCAACCTCGACCCGTCTCCTGACTCATCCGAGAGACACATCCCCCAGCTCACGTGTCCTAGACACAATTCCTCGTCCTGCGTCGCATCTCGACCGCGTACCGTTCCGGACCACTCCCAGACACGCCCTCCTTCCTTGCGCATACCACCGCTCGGCCCCTCCCAGTCGCTTCCCAGACCTTTCCCAGGCACGTCCCCCTCCCGCTGCTGCAGGTCGGCCGGTACCTCGACCCGTTCATCGACGGCGACGTCGAGCCGCAACTCTACGAGAAGCGGTCGGCGGGCCTCTTCATGACGCGGCTCGAGCGGGCGTGGACGGACCGGCCGTCTCCACGCAGGAGCTCGAGATGCGCGCAAAGTGCGGCGCCTCCAACAAGCTGCCCGTCTCGCCGGCGGTCGCCCTGACGGCGTACGTGAGCCACTGCATCACCAAGATGAACTGTGCATGGCCTTCTCGCAGCAAATCCCGGGGATGGACCGGCAGCCGCTCAGCGCGGGCTTGCAGGAGCGGCACGTGAAGCAGCTCGGCGCCGCGCTCGTCGCCGCCATCGGACGCGACTTTGCGGCGCCGGACCGTTCGATCGCCAGCCTGCCGATCACCGCAAACGTGGTGAAGGAGCTCGTGCAGGCGCACCTGCGCGCGTGGCGTGCTGTTCGTACCAGAACGAGTTGTCGAACGCGCTCGCGCGCACAAACGTGGAGGGCGAGGAGGCGCGGAGGAAGGAGCGGATGCTCATATGGGGGGTTTGAGGACACGTGTCTGTGGTTGTGCGTCGTCTGTGTGTGTGTGTGTGTGAGTGTGTCTGTCTGTCTCGAGCTATCGTTTGCGCAGTGTGTGTGCCCTCCCGAAGATGTCGCAAAGCCGCGCAGCCAATTCTCGGTCAGGTGTAGTGGATCACCTTAAAATCCTGGATTAATTCCTGAGCCCACCTGGCCCCACCAGACGGTTGGCGCGAGGTGCCCGGGCCACTTTTTAGCGGCTCCCGAGCCTCCCGGCGCCTCCGGTGGCCTCCTGAACCCTCTCCCGCAGCCTCTCTCGGCGACGTGGGGAGCGTCTGCCGTCCACGGCTCGCACCGGCTCTTCCAGCGGCTCCACGCTTGCCGCCCGTGACGTCCGCGCCACGCACCACCACGCGGCCGCTCGAGAGAGCGGTCGACGCCCATACTGCTGGGCGTGGCGCTCTATCGGTCGACGCTTTGGCGTCGCTGCTTGGTCGGTCCAGCGTGCCTCGACGCGCGTCGCGGCCGAGTACGGCTCGATGGCACAGCGCGTCGCCACGGATAAGATGCGGCAGGAACGTGACGGGGAAGCTCCAAGACCGCTGCGTTCTTGCAGGAGAGGTAAGACTCTGGCCTGCATTCGTGTGGGCCTTCGCGTCACTTCTGGGATGCGTCCAAATAATGAATCTTATATCGATCCACGTGATGCAATCCGCCTAGTTTGTGTAGGTTTCTTGTTCTAGGTAAAGGCCACTGAGAGACCACCTCACTCAGACAGGCACAGACCAGACAAACAAGAGACACAGGGCACACATACCATCACGCGCGCGCGGTGTACCCGCTACGTAATGTGCGCGCCTGAGCCTATGCTATCTACTTGCAGACGTCCTCAAACCTGCCCGCACGCGAGGTGGAAGAGAGGCTGCCACCCTCCTCCTTCTCCCACTTGAGCTCTGGCACGGGGAGGCAGGCGCGTCGCGGCGACGCGGTCTTGCTCGCTCGGCAAAGCCTTGAAGATGGCAAACTCGCCGTTGAGCTCGTGCAAGTTTTGACCCACTCGACTGGCACCGAGCGTCAACGGCCAACGGGCCGCACGTTCTTCGTACTTCTCGAGTGTGGGTTCTTCGCCTCCCGGCCGCGCGCCGTGTGACGAACCACGTATCTCGCCGTCGGCCGTCTTGTCGTCCTGGCCGGGGTGAGGAGGGGTGAGTAGCTCCGGCCGCTGCAGCAACTTCGCCACCACCTGCGCGAGCAAACGCAGGAGAACTGTGTGTCAGTACGGCTTCAGTGCCGCTCCTAGCGCACACGCAACGGCGGCTTGGCCCAGACTGCCAGCCACCTCTCCAGCTGCAGCGACAGCGGCGCGTCCGGCGACGCGGAGGCGGAGGCGAGGACGAGCAGCTCCATCAGGCGGCCGTCCGCCTGCTCGAAGCCGAGCTTCCCGCTCCTCGTCCTGCCATCCGCCTCGATGACCGCATCGGCCGCCCAGTCCGCGGAGGCCGCTGCTCTCCCACCGCCTCTTCCGACGTCCGCCGCCGCTTGAGGTCGTAGCGTTGGTCGGTCCTGTCGCGCATCTCCTCCACGGGCGCGTAAGCCGGCTCGGCGGCGAGGGAAACCGGAGCTCCGCGGTGCTGCGAGCCGCCCGGGCTCGTCTTGGAGCGAACAGGCCGGCTCGAAGGTGGCGAGGCGGGCTGAGACGGGCCGGTAGCGTCGGAGGCGGTCGCGGGTAGCGGCACGTACTTGGCGCAGTCGGCAAACTTGCCGTCGCAGGCCCGCCTGGAAGCTCGGCAGATGACACAGGCGACGCTCAGACGCCCACGTTTCGACTGCTCCGGCGGCATGGACGCCGACGCGGAGAGGCGGTCCGAGCGGTGTCGGGGTGGCTCACGAGTCACTCACACAGTCGGACGCGAGGACCGCCGGCTCGGAATAATTTTCCGGTGCCCCAGTCGGCTTGCAGGCGTGAGAGTCGGAGGACGAGCCTCTCACCTGCTTGTTTTTTCCGTGCCGTGAACAGAGCACCCCGAAAATCGGACCGGAAAAATACTCCGGCTGCGCGGGCCCAACGCAGGCATGTGTGAGTCGTGTCGGGCGGCCTCCGAGCGCTCGCGCGCCTCCGTCTAACGGTGCGCTGCTCGTCTGACGGCGAGGTCGCGTTTTCACACCCAAAGGAAGGACACTAGTGAGACGGGGGGGTCGCCCCGGTGCCCCACGCGCGCTGGCCGTGCCAACGGGTCCGCTGGGGTCCGCTGGGCCGCCTCAGACCACCGAAACTATTTTTTCCTGCATCCTGGAACGGCTGACCGAGAATTGGCTGCGCGTATACCATAGAAACGTATTTCACCAAGAGAGAGAGAACGGGACTCGCGCGTGTACGTCCCCGTCACCGAGCGTGAGGCCGCGCACAGAAACATGCCGGCACAGGGCCACAGCGGTCAGGGCGCGCGAGTGCCGAGTCGCGGTGTCAGGCGGGCGATCACCGATCAGGGAGAGCGAGCCCATGCGAACGCTAGCCGCGACTCCGCGGCCCCCAAGAGATGGAGATGACAATCGCCTAGATACGCGTGTCTCCGGTCCATCCTCGTCCAGGTCCTGCTCCACAGAGCCACAGCAGCAGTCTCCCACCGAGAGGCACGAGCGTGCTCGACCTCGTGCCCTCGTCCTCAGACCCCGGCCGTCTTGGGAGACGCCGCCGAGGCCCGCGTCCTCTTCTTGGGGGTCGGCCGCACCACCCACCCCTCGATCTTCTTCGGCAGCAGCTGGTTCTGCTCGTCGCCGTGGCCTAGCAGGCCGTGTCCTCCATAGCCCCAGCTCCAGACGGCTCCGTCAGCGGTGCGGGCGAGGCTGTGGTCGCCTCCCGCCGACACGGCGACGACGCGCTGGCCCGCCAAGGCTTGGACCTTCTTGGGCGGCTGGTCCTTGTCGTCGCCGTGGCCCAGCTCCCCGTGGTCTCCCCAGCCCCAGCTCCAGACGGCGCCGTCGGCGGTGAGGGCGAGGTTGTGAAATGCTCCAGCCGACACAGCGACGACGTGCTGGCCCGCCAGGCCCTCGATCTTCTTGGGCAGCAGCTGGCGCTGCTCGTCGCCGTGGCCCAGCACGCCGCGGCCGTGGTTAAGGCCCCACGACCAGACGGCGCCGTCGGCGGTGACGGCGACGCTTCGGTTGTTTTGCGCCGACACGGCGGTGACGCGCTCCCCCTCGAAGGCCTCAATCTTCTTGGGCAGCAGCTGGTCCTCGCGGTCACCGTGGCCCAGCACGCCGGACCATCCCTCGCCCCAGCTCCACACCCCGCCGTCGGTAGTGATGGCGAGGCTGTGCATGAGGTCCGCCGACACAGCGACCACGCGCCGCCCCGCCATGGACTCGATCTTCTTGGGCAGCAGGTTGTTGGACGTGCCCAGCGGGAGGCCGCCCAAGCCCCAGGTCCACACAGCGCCGTCGACGGTGATGGCGAGGCTGTGATTCGACCCCGCCGAGACAGTGACGACGCGCTGCCCGGTGAAGGCCTCGATCTTCTTCGGCTGCAGCTGGTTCTCGTCGTCGCCGTGGCCCAGCCGGCAAGCACAGCCCCAGCTCCAAACGGTGCCGTCGGCGGCGATGGCGAGGCTGTGGACCGCTCCAGCCGACACGCTCACGGCGCGCTCGCCTCCCATCGACGGGAGGCGGGTCGGCGTGTTGAGCCGCGTCACGCCCTCGCCGTGACCGAGCAGCCCATTGACAGCCAGGGCCTCCTCGGACTCGAGATCTTCGCCGACCTCGATCTCATCGGTCTCCAAATAAAGTCCGTTGCCGTACGAGAAGAGCCGGCCCTCGCCGTCGATGAAGACGCTGTGCTGAGTGCCCGCCGCCAGCGACGCTCGGAGGTTTGCCTCGGCCTGCATCGTGTGCACTTGCCTTCTCCCGCCTGTGTTCTCCTTCGCTTGTGATGAAAAATGCATCTTCTTTCGCGGCCGTCCCCTTCAACCACTCTACTTGAGCGGATAGGGTCGATTCCGCGTGTACGGGACCCCTCGATCGTCTCACCCTCCCTCACTGGAGTCGCGCGCCCACAAAACACAACGGGCCGTGCCCCGTCTGCGTCTCCCCCACACGCGCGCCTCCGCCTTGGTAGGTTCATTGTGTTTGTGAGAGAAGTTGTGCTTGTGTGGAGTGCGTCTGTGAGGAATTCGTTACCCAACCGAAATCAGCACCAAACCCGCACCTCACTCACCGACCCCGCGGCGACACCGCGGCCCTCCTCCTCCATCGCCTCCGCCGGCCGCGGCGGCGGCTTCCCGTGCACCTCCTCGAGCTTGCCGAGGTAGTACTCGTACGGCTGCCGCGCGAGCACCTCCCCGCGCTCGAGGCGCTCGCGCAGCCCCTCGAGCATCTGGCTGCTGCGAGGGCCGGGCGCAAAGCCATAGTGGACGCAGATCTGGACGCTCAGCCCGCCTGGAAGCCCAACCCTCCTCCGCTCCACCACCGCCCCGCCCCTCCGCCCGTCCCTCACCGGCGCAGGGCCGCACCCGCTCTCCGCCGGCGCGGCGGCCGCCACCGCCGCCCCCTCGCCGCTGCCCTCGCCGCCGCCCTCGCCGCCGCCCTCGCCGCCGCCCTCGCCGCCGCCCTCGCCGCCGCCCTCGCCGCCCGGCCCGCCGGCTCGCCCTGCGCCGCGCCGGCTCGTCGCCTCGGCCAGCCCGGCGTTGACGCGCCTGCAGGGAAGTGTCCAGGAAGTGTCCAGGAAGTGTCGCCTCGGCCAGCCCGGCGTTGACGCGCCTGAGCCGCGCGTAGTCGGCGGCGGAGTAGTGCTTCGCCCCTCCGAACGAGTCTCGCATCCGGCCGAGGAAACGCTCGAGCGACTCCTCTGAGGCGAGCCGCTCTGCGATGTGCGGGTAGAGGGACGCCTCCTACGACGAGACACACCCGCCTGCCGGTGAGATGGGGGGCCGGCTGCTGGTGACCTGCTCGCGGCGCACTGTCGTGCGGCTGGAGGGGGGGAGGGCCCTCCTTGAGGAGGGTCCTCCTTGAAGGCCTCTAATTAGCCACTTACTTGCTGCTCGTTCATTAGCTACTACTAACCACTACTAACCACTACTAGCTACGTGCCCTCCTTGAAGGCTTCGGCCGCCGCGTGCGCCGAGGGGGGGAAGGCGAGGTCCTCGGCGCGCTTGCCGAGATCGAACCAGCGGATCTCGTCGAGGAGGAGGCCGGCGCCGGGTGCGAGAGGAGAGATGTCGACCTGCGGCGGGCAAGGGGCCTAGGGTCAGGGGCTGTGGGGTCTTCTGAGTTCAGGAGTCGGAGGGGTGCTGGAGTCGGAGGGGTGCTGGAGTCGGAGGGGTGCTGGAGCCGGAGGGGTGCTGGAGTCGGAGGGGTGCTGGAGTCGGAGGGGTGCTGGAGTCGGAGGGGTGCTGGAGTCAGAGGGCGGCTGGAGTCGGAGGGGTGCTGGAGTCAGAGGGGTGCTGGAGTCGGAGGGGTGCTGGAGTCGGAGGGGTGCTGGAGTCGGAGGGGTGCTGGAGTCGGAGGGGTGCTGGAGTCGGAGGGGTGCTGGAGTCGGAGGGGTGCTGGAGTCGGAGGGGTGCTGGAGTCGGAGGGGTGCTGGAGTCGGAGGGGTGCTGGAGTCAGAGGGGTGCTGGAGTCGGAGGGGTGCTGGAGTCGGAGGGGTGCTGGAGTCGGAGGGGTGCTGGAGTCGGAGGGGTGCTGGAGTCGGAGGGGTGCTGGAGTCGGAGGGCAGCTGGAGTCGGAGGGGTGCTGGAGTCGGAGGGGTGCTGGAGTCGGAGGGGTGCTGGAGTCGGAGGGGTGCTGGAGTCGGAGGGGTGCTGGAGTCGGAGGGGTGCTGGAGTCGGAGGGCAGCTGGAGTCGGAGGGGTGCTGGAGTCGGAGGGGTGCTGGAGTCGGAGGGCAGCTGGAGTCGGAGGGGTGCTGGAGTCGGAGGGCGGCTGGAGTCGGAGGGGTGCTGGAGTCGGAGGGCAGTCCTGCAGCGGCGAGCGGAGCGCGAGGGCGAGAGTGTCCCGTGGGACCAGTCCGTGCGCGATGGCGAGCGCCGTGCCAATCATGTGCCTAGAGGGTTCCTAGAGGGTTCCTAGAGGGTTCCTAGAAGGTTCCTAGCGCCGTGCCAATCATGTGCCTGGAGAGGAGAGGAGGCTGCGCCGTGCCTTGCCTCACCTCGGCTGCATCTCGCTGGATCGGGTGCAGCATCTCTCTCCGCTACATCTCGGCTGCATCTCGCCGGATCGGGTGCAGCATCTCTCTCCGCTACATCTCGGCTGCATCTCGCCGGATCGGGTGCAGCATCTCTCTCCGCTACATCTCGGCTGCATCTCGCCGGATCTGGTGCAGCATGAAGGAGACGCCGGCGATGCGGAGGACGAGGTGCTCCTGCCCTCGCAGCACGACGGAGCGGTGCACGCCGCAGAAGAGGACCGAGCGGTACGCGAACGCGGCGCCTGGCCGGCGAGGTGGGCTTGGATCTGTGAGAGAGGTGTGGTGGAGAGAGGTGTGGTGGAGAGAGGTGTGGTGGAGAGAGGTGTGGTGGAGAGAGGTGTGGTGGAGAGAGGTGTGGTGGAGAGATCTCGGGTGGTCTGAGGAGAGATCTCGGGTGGTCTGAGGAGAGATCTCGGGTGGTCTGAGGAGAGATCTCGGGTGGTCTGGGGGCTCGCCCTGCCGCCGCGATGGGTCGAGGGCGAGCGGCCAGCTCTCGCCGTCGTGCTCCCAGCAGCCCCAGCCCTTGCCGCGCAGGCCGGAGCAGAAGTTGTGCACCTTGTGTGGCATGGCGGTCAGTGGCGGTCAGTGAGGGAGCGGGACCACTCGACTGCCTCAGCTGCTCGAGCAGAAGAAGCGGCGCGCCTTGTGGCTCCCTTCGAATGTCGAGAGGACGGCGTCGAACTCCGCCACGCCCATCCCGCCAAGCGCAGAGGCCGGCAGCAGGTACTCGTAGCTGCGGCTCGAGGCGCACTCGCGGCAGTGGAACGACTTGCGGACCGTGCAGCCGCCGAAGAGCCGCACCTTCGGGAGGCGAGGTCCGAGATACAGCCGAGAGAGACAGCCGAGAGACAGCCGAGAGACAGCCGAGAGACAGCCGAGAGACAGCCGAGAGACAGCCGAGAGACAGCCGAGAGACAGCCGAGAGACAGCCGAGAGACAGCCGAGAGACAGCGGGAGAGACGCACCTCAGGCGGGAGGTGGCTGTTGATCTCGGCGACGGCGGCGGCGGTGAGGGCGAGCCTCGGCTGCGGCGGCGGCCCCGCCGCCCGCTCCGCCGGCTCGAGCGGCGAGAGGAGCGGCTCGAACTGTCCAGGAAGCGTCCCGGAAGTGTCCAGGAGCGGCGAGAGGAGCGGCTCGAGCTGTGAGTCGAGCGTCTCCATCTTGAGCGACACGGCCGCGCGAGCCGCGTGCACGCCCTTGTCGGTCCGGCTCGCCAGCGTCCACTTTGTTCGCGTCAGTGGAGAGAAGTTGCTCGGCAGGACCGCGCCCGCGTCGAGGAGTGCCCGCCGCAGCGCGTCAGAGACGGTCGGCTGGCCGGGCGTGCCCTCAGCGCTCTGAGACTGGAGGCCATAGAAGCCCGTGCCGCGGAAGCCAAACATTAGCGCCATGTGCCTCTTCTTGGACGAGTGCGCCTCGTCGCCAGCCTCTCGCAGGCCGCAGAGTGGCCGTGTGGTGCGCAGAGTGGCCAGCTGCCGGCAGCGCGGCGCGGAGCGTGGAGCGGCGAAAGAGGTCCACGGTAACAGGGCCGTGACCGTGATGGCGTGCATTGTCGTCTCGGTGGCGGCGTTGCTGCTGCAGGCAGCCACCGCACTCGACGGCGCGTTCGAATTTCTTTTTTGTGGTTCTCGAGGTGGATATCCTTTGGCCGCGTTGGGTAGCGAGGATTGGTGTGGTACTTTTTGATTATTTATTTCGACTGCCATGTGCGTTTCACCGCGCGGCGCACGCTCACATCCCGATTCTCAGGCCGAGTCCTTGACGCATCTGAAGCCAAGGGTCGCGGCGCGCTCGTAGGAAGCGCTCATCAGCATGTACTTGTTGTGCTGGAACAGCCCCATGACAGTTGGGAAGTACCAATGCGAACCCTTCACGCCGGCCACGCCTGCCTGGTAGAGGGAGCCCCCACGCAGTATGACGCCGCGCGAGTGCGCGTCCATGAATTCGCTCGTGTACTGCCAGACCGTTGAAACCAGGTCGGCGACGCCGAACGGCGAGTCGCCCTCAGGCGAGCGCGAGCCCACCGCCGGCGGGACGGGCGCTCGCTGTCCTACGTGCGGCTCGGGTGTGCAGTGGCCGCAGCTGTGGTTACCCCAAGGGAAGGTGCGGTTGTCGAGGCCCTGCGCCGCGTACTGCCACTCCCATTCACGCGGTAATCGCTTGCCAGCCCACGCGCAGTACTGCCGAGCTTCCTGGAGCGAGACGTGTACGACTGGCGTCCGCGCCAACGCGGGAGGGGGCTCTGGCCTCGACCCGTTCCAGCTACTCAAAAAGTTGTGCGGATCGCATGGCACGTACCCGGTGGCGTTCAGATATGCTCCATACTCAGCAGCGGTCACGGGATGCTTGTCCATGAAAAATGCAGCGACCTGCAGCAAGGCCGAGTGAATGCGCTGAGGGTGAGACTCCCAGGGGTATTGAACGTCGGGGCCCGTCGGTCCACCCTGGTCCTCGACGCCGGCGACGTGGAATGAATAGTTGGCTGCCGGGATGGGAACCATGCCCGGTGGAGCAGACGCGGTCGGCGGCGAGGGCGGGTGTGGCACCATGGTCTGCTTGAGAAAGGTCCACTCGCTGCTGAACGCGGAGAGCGGGCCAGCGGCACTCAGCCGGCGCATCGTGGCGAGGAACTCGGCGAGTGGCCTGCCGCCAGCGGTCGAGTTGTGCGACGAGAGCACGCAGCCGAAGCCTGAGGCCTCGAGCGCAAAGCTGACTGAGCCGTCCGTGGGAGAGACGGCGAGCCTCTCGCCGCGCCAGCAGTCGTACGCCGGGGCGGCCCGTTCTGCCGCGCGGAGGACGAGCTGCGGCCTCGAGCTGTGGCTGGTGCCGGCGCGGTTGACCATCGTGTACAGCGTCTCATTCTGCGCCGGAAGCGGGAAGCGGCTGCCGAAGACTCCATCGACGAGCACGCCAGGGTCGTGCGGCTCCCATCCGCTCGCACCAACGAGGCCCGCTTTCGCGAAGAAGCGCAGGATGGTGAAGATTCGGCGGATCGCCTCGCCGTCGCGCGGCGTGATGCCATTCCACGAGCCCCAGTTGGACTCTGTTGTCTCGAAGCCAACACCGTTGAAGAAGGAGAAGTGCAGCGCGTCCACGTGCGAGTGCGACCACCGGTCGCGCACGCTCGTCATGCGCCGCGGCTCGAGCCACTTGTAATGATCGACCGTCTGCGCCGTAGGCCCCTGCGCTGCTCCCTTGTCGAACTTGCAGTGGCAGACCGACATCGTCTCCCAGTCCATCGACGCGATCGTCCCGCCGCCCTCGGGTTGATACGTGTCCTCGCTGCCGACCGCTAGGCTGTCGATCCACCACTCCTTCGGCACGTGGCTCATGGTATCACCATTTATCCCGTCCGCGCCGCCAGCCTTGAGGACGGACGCGAATACAGTGGCATCGTCAGGAGTGCTGCCGTTTGCTGCTACCTCTCGCCGCGTGCCTGTGTCCCACGGGTTGTAAGACCAGAGCACATGCACGCCGCGCTGCCGAAGTTGGTCGCTCACATTGCGCACTGCCGAGATGCCACCTGGAAGCGCACGGTACAGGTCCAGCTGATTTCTATCATCGAGCCCCAAGTTAGTGTAGGTGGGCCAAAGCAGGATCGCATCCACACCGCCGTAGCGTGCCCCTACATCCGACAGGTATTTGTCAACGGTCCACCGACCCAAGGTTTCATTGTACAGCGTGCGCTCGTACCCTTGAACCATGGGGATTGCGAACGCGTGCTGCGACCACCGCAGGCGTGGGTGGTCATAAACTCCCCCACCGTAGCCGCTCAGTTCCGACTTGCGGCACGCGTGCAGCTCAGCAAACCACGCTGCACGCGCCGAGCGGTTTGGCCCCAGGAGCTGGGGAGCATTCGCGCTCCCGCTGTACGCCGTTGGGCAGTGAAGGGTGTTGGGCTTCGGTGCCGCTAGGGGCGGAGCGCTCATCAAGGGGTAGAGGAGCGGCAGAGGTCCTGCTGCGTGGAGTCGGGCAGCCGCTCGTAGCGCGCAGAGGCGTCAAGTCACAGTTGCGTGGAGTCGGGCAGCCGCTGAGCGCGCAGAGGCCGTCATGTCAAGATCGATTAGTGATTAAGATAGTGTGATCTGTGAACGGGACGCACGCAAACATTCACAGGGCCGAGCGTTTTTGATCTCTCGGTAAGTGGGGGGCCGAGCCGCCTCGGGGTGGCGGGCGGGCGGGCGTGTTGAAAAACAGAAAACAGAAAACAAGAGGGGGCCCGGGGGCCCAGGCCCCCCACTGGGAGTAGAAAATACGCCCAGGGGGGCCAAGGAGGCGGCGCGGGGAAGCAGCATCAGGTGAGAGCAGGAAGGATGGCGCTTAGGGTCGGCTTTGAACAAGGGTTTCCAGGTTTTAGTATTTAGATCAGTATTGGTGACGGCACACATCCCCACATCCAAGCTGCAGAAACGAGCTTTTAGTGCTTATGAGCATAAGCACTGGATTCTCATGCGCGCGGAGCGCGCCGGTGCTCTACCCGGACACGCGCGGAGCGCGCTAGCTGGACACCGCACGCGCGGAGCGCGCTAGCTAGACACACACGCGCGGAGCGCGCTGGCTAGATACCGCGCGGAGCGCGCTGGCACCTATGTGCGCGGAGCGCACCGCGGTAGAGTCTAGACACATGAAGACAGTCTGTTGCAGTCAGTTGTGGCCACGCGGCTTCGGCCTGACGTCGTAGCACTCGGCTGGCAGACGCTGTGTCTCTGCCTTCTTCCGCGTCATGACCAGACCCCGCTGTGCAGCGAAGCTCCAATGCCGCCCCTCTGTGCACGTGACCTGTCGTTGTGGTGAAAGCGGTCTTCCCAGTTGAGCCCGCCCCAGTTCTCGAGCGCACGGTTGATGAAGGGCACGGCGACGGGCGTGGGGGCGCGTTCCACGCGATCACAGCCTCCTCAGTTGCAGTGACCCAGTTGCCCTGGCGGTCGCAGCGGTCCCACACACCGCCCATGCCCTCCACAACAGCCTCACACATTGACTTTGTAGCCATGTGCGCCCAGAGGTAGAGGTAGTTTTTGCAGCAAGAGTAGAAGCGGGCGTCGGTGAATACAGTTTTCATGATGACGGTGCTGCTGGTCGCGCGGTTCCAGGATTGAAAGCCTGGCCGAGGTGCCCACTCGGTGAGCAGCTTAGACAGCATGACGAATTCTCTCCAGACAACACTAAATGCCGGCATGTCATCGACAGCTCCTGGATCAGCGCCACCGCCGCCGCTGTCGGTAGCAGGGCTGGGAGCAGCGGGGCCAGCAGCAGGGCTGGCAGCGGCGGGGGGGACATCATACGTCTGCCCCGGGTCGTAGTTGTCATCGTCAAACTGGCCGAGGGAATCGGCGGCAGCGGCAGGGGGCGGGGCGGCGAGGGAGGCGGGCGGTCTATGGCTGGCATCACCTTGGTGAGCACTAGCTCAAGGCCGGCGCAGGTGACGGCGTGGAAGGATGAGCGAAGGTGAGGGACAAACCAGCGAGAGTGGTTTTTTGTCCCAACATCGACACCAATGGTCTGCAGCATGGTGACGCGGCCCTCAAAGGACAGATCGGAGTCGTGGCATTTGACGCCCTGCAGCGCGACAGAGGCGGAGGGGCGAGCGCGTGTGTGTGTGTATGTGTGTGTGTGCGTGTGTGTGCATGTGTGCGTTCGTGTGTGTGCATGCAGTGAGGATGGTGGGCAGTGAGCGGTGCCGGCGCCTGTAGGATCAGCTTACTGATGATGATGCCAGCCCGACGGCGCTCACTAGCATACTGCGACTCGACAACCTCGTGGTGGGAGCACCACTGATGAATCTGGGTCTGCACATGCTGTTTGACTCCAGCCTTAACAGAAAAGAAGGCACGCGCGGGCCCGAGAGTGGATCTGTTCCTGATGCCTTCAATGACGCCGACGCTTCTCGCGGTCCGAGCCTTCAGAGCCAGCGGCACATAGCTGGAGCTGGCATACTTGAAACAGCAGTTGCAAATGATGTCGCCATGCTGCTGATCAAATCGGAATCCCTCAAGCTGGCCAATGTCAAAGCAGTTCTTGCATGCGTCAATCTTTGCAAAGGGTGCAGCACTTTGGCGTGTTGCGGCGGCGGCGGCCTTTTCCTCTTCGGAGAGATCAAATGCGCGAACAGCGGCGGCCGTCGCAGTCGCGACCTGCTTTGGAAGGTCAACGAGGACCGATTTCAGTCCCTCCACAATCGCGTCCACCGTAGCAGTAACGGCTCCACTGGCCACAGACTCGGCCTCTCCGAGCGCTGCACGCTCGAAAGGGTTGAGCTCAATCTGGGATGAGCCGTCTGGCCTCTGCCGCTTCGAGGAAGGTGGAGCACTCTGAGAGCGGCCGGGCGGCGAGTCGGGCGGAGGCAGGCGGGCGCGAGTCTGGAGCCAATCCTGGAGACCACCTGACTCGAAGATCGTATTCATCGTCGACTCGACATTGTACAGCTTCTCCTTGAACAAATCGAGTACCTCTTTGGGAGGGTCGTCGTCGCCTTGGATGCCGAGAACGGATTTGAGCGCGTCCACGTTGTGATGATACTGAGGAAACACCTCTCGCTGAGCGGCCATCAATCACCAGGAAGGAGAAGGGTGCGCCACATGCGTTCGCCAAGTCGCCCGGCGACGCCATTCGCGCTGTCGCGAGCACTTCTCTAATCAAATCGGAAACGTTCGTACCTCGTTTTTTACCATAAAATGTTCCTTTCGTTCGTTCGCGAGAAGGATACCGGGAGAGGAAGAAATCTTTTTCTGTGCGCGTTGCCGCCTCCTTCTAGGCCACGATGGTCGCTCCATCCAGACGACCCCGGCCGCCATGAAGCAGGCGGTGCTCGACGCAGCCACTGGTGGCATGTCGCCGACATCGAAGGCAAAGTTCATCAAGTACAACTGCAGCGATTGCGGCGGCGACCTCATGGCTGGCGACGGCCCTGGCACTGACGTTACCGGCAAGTGGCGCAGCATGTCACACAACAAGCACTGGACGAAGCAGAAGCTCGCCGAAGCGAGAGCCACATGGGTGCGGCCGAATGACGAGAAGACAGTCGTCACGTTGTGCACCGGAAGCAGGTGCCGCAAACCACTTCTCCTGACAGCGGAGCAGCTCGAGCGGATGCAAGAGCACAGTCTGACGATCAAGCAGGAGAGCGACGTGCGCGCGGCTGCGGCACAGCTCCCAGGCGGCTTTGTCGATGCCGGCGACATCTTAGATCTGCTCAGGATGGGCATGTAGCGCCCAGAGACACGCGCGGAGCGCGCCGCTGCAGAACACGCGCGGAGCGCGCCGCTGCAAGGGTAGGCGCGGAGCGCCGCCACTCGAGATTGGGCCTGTGGGTGGGCCGATTGGTTCCTAGCGTGTGAGTCAAACTCTTAATAGAAATCGCATCTAGCCCTCCACAACCCTCAAAATTTTCTTCGGGGCGCGCTCCGCGCGCGGCGCTCCGCGCCTACTCCTTGAGCGTCATAGGCACTGGTTCGCACATGTTCTGCAGCTTGGCCCCACATTGAGGTCAGCGGCGCGCAGTGCCTCTCTCGCAGGCTGATTTTGGCTGTTTTCGAGCTTGTTTTTGTTTTCAGTCTAGGGGGCCCGAACCCCCTCAGAGGCGGCGGGCGGGCGCCCACTTACCGAGAGATCAAAAACGCTCGGCCCAGCGATCCGATTTCGAGCATAAAACCTCCTCTCCAAACGGAAACGATCGACACAATCTCTGAAGTGCCTCCCGGGCTCCGGAACCGGGGTGGACGGACCCCTTTTTTTCTCCCCTCCGCCCTCCTCGCCCCCCCAAGCGACCCCCGGGCTCCGGAGACCACGCCCGGCTCTCTGCGCCGGAGCGGCGACCGCGCCGAGCGGCGGCTCACTAGCAGCGCCGCCGCGAGCCTCGCCGGCGGGGCGAAGGAGCCAGAGCGGGGTCCGTCGGCCCTAGCGGCGAGAGCGCTCGTCACGGCGTCGCTCCGATGGCGAGCGCCGTGCAGCGGCCTGCGGGGCACAGAGGGAGAGGCGGTGACTGCGACGGCGACGGTGGGGGGGGAGTGGCGAGATCTGCAGGAGGAGGGCGGGAAGGAGGGGGCTGAGCAGCGTGGGCGAGGGCGAGAGGGGCGGAGGGAGAGGGGAGGAGAGAGGAGGCGACGAGGAGAGTGGTGGGTGCGGGGCGGGGAGGGGAGAGGGGAGCGGCCGCCTGCTGTCAGTCCTCTCTGCCGTGGCGTCGACGCACGGCGCCAAGGAGGGCACCAGCCAGCTCTGGCTCGCCGGCGACGACGGCAGCGACGACACCGCCGAGGCATGCAACGCCAACGACCACGTGCGCCGCGTGAGAGGAGGGCGAGAGGCTGTCTGGTGCGCCCAGCCAGAGAGCCGTCGCGTTGGTCGCTGCGGCGGACAGCGCGAACGCGGCTAGTACTGCCGGCGCGGGCGCCAGCCGGAGGGGGGCGCCGGGGGCGCGAGCCGCCGCCGCGCGGCCAATGTAGCGGTACGAGAGCGCGGTGCGCAGCCCGAGGTTGAGCACGTTCGCGAGCACGAGGCCGGAGGTGCGCAAGAGCCGCACGCCCGCGAGCGCCGCGCCGCCGTAGACGAAGGCGATGGCGGTGGTGGCGGCGGCGATGCGGCGCAGCTCGGGGGGCGGAGCGCTCGCCTGGACGTACTTCATTTAATTATGTTCACTTCATTTCATTTCATTTAATTTAATTCAGCGCTCGCCTGGACGTATGCCTCGCTCACACCTGCAGGCACGCGGGGTAGGGTCGGAGGAGACAGACTCGCGCCCCGAGATCTCGCGCCCCTCCGCAGGGAGGGGAGGCTTGGGCCGTTGAGAGCCATCGCGCAGACGGCGGCGCAGTAGAGGCTGAGGAGCTGAGGGGCCTCGGAGGCGGCCCAGACGGGCCCGTAGAGCAGCCGGAGGAGGAGCCACGAGTACGGCGGCCTAACACATCACAGTGTACTCATTATAATGGTATATTGTGCAAGGAGGAGCCACGAGCACGGCGGCCCGAAGGAGAGGAGGACCAGGCCGAAGAGGCTAGTGCCTGCAGCAGCGGGAGGCGCCTGCTGCTGACTGCTGCTGACTGGTGTAGCGCGTCAACTCGTCGTCTCTCGCGGCGACCGCACCTCGCAACAGCAGCTGCAGCTCGCGCAGCGTCGCCTCGTCCGCCCCGGCGGGGGCGCCGCCTGGCGCGGCCGAGGCGGCCGAGGCGGCGGCGAGCCGCGAGAAGCGGGCGAAGGTCACCTCCTCGAGGGGCTGCAGCACCTGCGGGGGACGTGTCGTGGACGTGTCGTGGACGTGGCGAGGAGAGGCCGCCTCGCTCCAGCCGCTGCGGCGCCATCCGCGCGAGCAGCGAGCCGAGGTTGCTCACCTGTTCACAGCTAGAGGTGTGAAGAGACGTTGTTCACAGCCATCCGCGCGAGCAGCGAGCCGAGGCTGCTCACCAGACCGTACACGCCCTGCGAGGTGAGCGGCGAGGTTGCGACGAGCACCAGCCGCTCGCCCTCGGTCAGGCCGTACTTTTGGACCGCCTGCGCGCACATCTGCGCGACGAGCCCCCACTCCCCGCCTGCCAGCCAGCGCGGCCCGCCGCCGTCGCCCTTGCCGTCGCCGCCGCCGCTATGGGCGCGCCGCGGCCACAGGCTCGACGCCGCCGCTCGCCGCGCCGCGAGCGCACTCAGCAGGACGCCAAAGCAGACGCCAAATGCAAGCTGGCCGAGGGCGAACGCGAGGCCCACGCCTGCGGGCGGCGCTGCCTCGTCCGCCGGTCTGGCGGAGGCGGCCGAGCGGAGAGCCAACAGCACGAGCGCCGCCGTCACCGCCGCCTTTGCGACGAGGGCCGCCGCCTCTGCCAGGGCGCGCTGCGGAAGCAGCTCATTGGCCTGCGCGTAGACCCAGCCGGGCTCGCTCGCCGCCTCAATAATCGCAGCTGCACCGGCCACGACGAGCGCGGCCCGCGCCTCGGCGGCGCCCATCAGCTCGTCCCACTCGCCACTCACGCCGGTCGCGGCCGCCGTCGCGGCCATCAGCAGGGCGGCGAGGACGGCCGCCGGTGCCGACAGCCACGCCACGTTCATGCCACTCGCGAGCGGCGCGCCGTCCCCGCCCGGGTAGATGCGCTGGGCGGCGCGGCGCAGGCCCTCCTTTGGCAGGAAGAGGAGGGTGGCGCCCACGAGCTGCAGCTGCACATTCGCAAAAGCGTACCACGCCGGCCCGAGCCGCCGCGCGAGCAGCGCGTTCAGAGCGAAGGTGAGGAGCCTGGTGAAGAGCTGCAGTGCAAAGAGCGAGCCGAAGCCGCGCATTCAAACTGCCGCCTGTAGCGCTGCCCGCCGGCGTCGAGCGTCTCCCGCGAAGAATTGTGTTGGTGCGAAGATTTGTGTTGAGTTGAGCTGACACCAGTTCGCGGTTAGCTCTAACCGTGCACTCGCGCCCCTCTGCCGCCAAAGAGGCGCGATGATCACCAGAGAGGGTTCGGGCTCCTGGCCTGTAGGGGTCTGCATCGTTCACACTTGTGCCATTTTCCCCATTCTCACAAGAAAAAAATCTTGAACAATCGCCTCGCTCGCGGGTCGCTGGCACCTCCGGCAAGTGCCAGTGCGCGCCAGTGTCGTTAGAGGGAGCTTTGTGTCGAATATGGCGCGAACCCACCGGCCGCCGCATAAGCGGGGTCTGCCGGCCGATGCGGCGCGAGGCAAGCAACAGAGCCGGATCGGCCTCGCTCTGGCTGCAGTCCTTGTGGCGGCGGCGGCGGCGGCGGGTGCTTGGCTTTGGCGAGCAGCCACACCGAACGTCGAGGCGCCACCAACGTCGGCGGCAGACCCAGCGCCGCCACCGACGTCGGCGGCAGCGGCCGCAGACCTCGATGCGAATCTGGCGAGGGCAGTCTCTCAGGGCGCCGCCGGCGCCGCGAGGAGGCTGCTGGCGGCAGGCGCCTCGGCGAGTGGCTCGGCTCCCAACGGGTGGCCCTTGCTGGCCGTCGCGGCGCAGAAGGGGAGCGCGGGCGTGGCTGCGGCTCTGCTCGAGCACGGCGCCGACGCCGACGCTGTCTACAGCGGCTTCACGCCGCTGCTGCTCGCCGCTGCCGCCGGCCATCTGCAGGTCGTGCGGCCGCTGCTCGCGCACTCGGCCTCCGCCTCCGCCACGTCGCCGGACGGGTCCACGGCCCTGCACTTCGCGGCCGAGTACGGCCACGCCGACGTGGCGGAGGCGCTGCTGCGCGCGGGCGCGCCGGTCGAGGCGGCCAAGCCTGGCGATGGGACCAGGCCACTGCACCGTGCCGCCGAGAACGGGAAGGCGGCGGTGGTGGAGGTCCTGTTGCGGGCCGGCGCGTCTGTCGACGCGGCCGCGGCAGGCGAGTGGCGCCCGCTGCTCCTCTCCCTCGTGCGCAGCCACGCCGCGCTCGCCTTGTCGCTGCTCGAGGCGGGCGCCTCGCCTCACCATGCGCGCGAGGACGGGACGCTCCCTCTCCACGCGGCGACCCGGCTCGGCTCGTCCGCCCTGGTCGAGGCGCTTCTCGACCGCGGCGCGCGCATCGACGCCGCAGACAAGGCCGGCGAGACGGCGCTCCACCGCGCCGTCTCGGACCGGGGAAGCGCGTCCGTGCCGCTGCTGCTGCGGCGGGGCGCCTCCGCCGCCGTTGCAACCTCCGACTACCTCCAGACACCGCTGCACGTGGCGGCTGCGCAGGGTGACCTTGCTTCGGCCGCCGAGCTCGTCGCGCATGGCGCCTCGGCGGCAGCGAGGGACCGCTTCGGAGTCACTCCGCAGTACGCCGCCGCGTATCACGGGCACAGGGGTGTGGCCGAGCTGCTGCGCGGCGGCGAGGTGGCGGCCGCAGCAGACGCCGGCGCCTGCGCGGGTCGGGGGCAGCGGCGGCGGGCGGGAGGCGGCGTCGCCCTGTCCGAGCTTAGCGTGGCCCTGCCGGCGGGCAAGGCCTCGCCCTCCTCCTCGGCGCAGCTGAGGAGGGCGGTGGAGGTGTGGGAGCGAGACGGGGTTGTCCTCTTCCCGCGGCTGCTGTCGCTGCCGCTGGTGGAGCGGCTGCGGCGGGGCGTCGAGGCCGAGCTGAGGCGCGACGCGGCCGAGGCGCTCGACCGGACGTACAGCATCCGGCAGGCGAGCAGCCGGACACTTCCCAGACACGTCCCAGACACGTCCGTGGCACGTCCCAGAGTCGGTTACGCGTGCAGCGCTCGGCAGGCGAGCAGCCGGACGCTGCGCGCGGTCGACGTGCGGGGTGTGAGCCTGGCGGCGCTCGAGGCGATCGCCGCGCGGGCGGGCGGCTTCCTGCTCGCGGCGCTGCGGTCGGAGGTGCAGGTCCTGCTCGAGAGCTCGGTGATGCAGACGCGGAGCGGCGCCGCGGACCAGTCCTTCCACGCCGACACGGGCGCGTGCGACCCGCGCCTCGCGAGCGTCCAGGTGTCGCTCGTCGACACGGCCGCCGACCAGGGCGCGCTCGAGGTTGCGCCGGGCACGCAGCGGGGCGGCGCGCCGGCGGGCGAGGGCGAGGGGACGGTCGTCGCGGTGCCGGCCGGAACTGTGCTCTTCTACGCGCCGTCGGCCTCGCACCGCGGGCGCGGGAACCGGCTGGGGCGCGACCGGCTCTTCCTCGGGCTGACCCTGCTCGGCGAGGGTGGCGTGGTGCCGCCCGGCATCCCGTACGCGCTCCAGCCGCACGACCTCGGCCGGTGGTGCTTGAGAGGGGGCGGCGACGAGGCGGCCGCGGGCGAGGCGGGGCTGTGCGGGAGCACCGAGTTTGGAGGGGTTGGGTAGTCGATGGGTACTAGGGTGCGTGCACATTCTCCCTGTAGAGTCTAGAGTTGGTCGGACTGAGAGAGGACAGAGCGTAGGTCTATACGGCTTAATTTATTAAACTTAATTTATTAAGGTGGTCCGTCTCGCTCTTCTAGCACTTATTCGTTATTGCGGAGCAGATCAGCACAGCGAGCAGGAGGATCAGGATGTACCATGAACAGGCTACAGCACGAAGAGTCACCAAGAGATTAGGAGCAGCAGGGACCCGAGGGACCATGTGGAAGACGGCTAGTGCTAGGCTAGTCCCCCACATCGGGAGGACCATACATGGACATCTCTACCCAACATCGGAAGATCCTTGGACTGTAGATCGCAGATGCCTTTTAGAGATCTCATAAGTGGCAAATCTCCTGCCAAGAGCAGCAGTAGATTGAAGAACTGGGGTGGAGGCAAATCTTCTCCGGTGTAGATGCTCGAGAGGAGTCTGAGATGTCGAGTTGGTGCGTGCAGTCGCTTGAGATCTTGCGACAGAGGTGGAAATTCTGACTTCGCGCCAAAGGCGCCTAGAGATCGTGTGGGCCGACTGGAGATTGCAAAATGGCGCGAAAAGAGGGTGGAGATCCTTTTGCGTTGTGAATGAATCCATAGCGCATCTCCTTGAAGGTTTGAGCCCCCCTCCTCCCCCGGGCCCCGAATCGAGATTGGAGATTGGAGATTGGAGATTGGAGCGGCCGCACCTTGCTCGCTACCCTAGCGCTACCCCCCCTGCACATCTAAAGTCATGGCCGACCCCCCCCCCAGCAGCAGCGCTCTGCTGCTGGGGGGTGCTGGCATCTCTGTACAAGACAACAGCTGTAAGTAAGTACGGTTAGCGTTCCAGTGGCGAGAATTTATGGTCGACAAAACCAGTGGTCTCACCGGCGTACGTATACCCTCCTACTGCCAGCCGGGCGCGGGGCACGCCACGCCATTGCGGCGACGCGTCGCGGCGGACCTGACAGTTTTGCCGCGACGGGCGCGCGCGCGTTTTCGAAAAAAGAAAAGTCCGGAACGACAGTCGATCGATTTCGACGAGCGAGCGATCCGAGGATCGAGCGGGGGACCGATAGCCTAGGGAGAGATCAACGCTGATCGATCAACGTCAGCCGAGACGCCCGAGTGAGTGGCTCACTACACTTGCTTTACGGGGTGTTGCATTAGGTGTGCAATGACAACCGAGGCAGATCGTGAGGCGCCTCGGTCGCAGTGCACGAGGACGCGCCCGCCGGAGCGCAGAGCCGCGGCAAGGAAGGGCAGCGCGACGCGCATTACGGGCGTGAGGTCTGCGCTCGCTCCTCGTCCGGAACGCGGCAGAGGGGCGATGTGTCGTGCCTGGCGGCGCCGCCATGCGCCGATCGACGATGCTCAAGACATGCGACACTCGGAGGTTCGCAACCGCCGCCGCGTTCACACATGCGGCCGAGCCCAGGAAGACGTTGTGGCAGACCTCGTTGGGGTATGACACGCACGTTGACGTACGCACGTACCCATTTCCCCCAAACGAAATAATACGACGAGCCGGAGACGACGAGTTCATGCGCGCCTCTATGTCGTCTGCCTCTGCCCCTCCCCTACCTACTCCCTGGCCCGCCCCATCCAGGATGCTGCAAACCGGGTCCGTCCTCGTCCTCCTCGGGCACGAACCGCATGTTGCACGCGCAGGCTGCGCTCGGGTCCTCCGGCCGCATGAGGACGCACCCTACCTCCTCGCCCTCCGTGAGTAGCAGCGGCCCAAAGCGGAACTCGGCCTCGTGTCCCGGCTGCGGCACGATTCGCACCGTGTCCGGGTCCAGCACTGCCCAGTCGGCGTTGGTGGTGTGAATGTGAGCCTCCGTTCGCCGGATCGCAGCCGTGCCGTGGCCCTCGAGCCGCAGCCAGCCGTAGCACTCAGAGAGCTCATTCCGCTGCTCGGCGACATAGGCGCCGTCCATGCCCATGAACGCGGGGATCTCCAGCGTCGGGCCGCTCGCGCTGTCCAGCCAGCTCGCGAGGGAGGCGAGCCAGGAGGAGAGGAGCGTGCCTCCCGGAACGAAGGAGAGCGCGGTACCGACCATCGAGCCGGGCCCGTCTGGCATCGCCACCCCCTCCGGAGGGCGGCCACCCTCGCCTCTTTTGGACGCCGGTGGACGCCGGTGGCGGCGAGCGCTGGGATCGAGAAATCGGACGCGGTAATAAAATTCCTTTTTAGTGCGCGACGGATAGCGCACCACACACCTCTCCTTAAAATCCCTGTGTGGTGGCGGCGTGCCGTCCTCCCATCCCTCCCTTGGGTTGTCTGTTTTCTTTCTTTCTTTCTTTTTAGTGCGCGCACTACACCAGCACAGGTAAGAAGAATTTTGGGTAAAAGAAGAATTCAGCGGACTCGTGGAGCCCGAACCTAGGAAGTGTGAGCTCTGTGTCTTGATTTGCCAAGGTAGGTAGGTAGAAAGGTGAAGAACAGCCAGGCTCGGACTGGACACCAACGCGGTATGGGTGGACGCTGGACAGATGATGACGACACGCACGAGCGACACACAGACACAAAAGGCTCACAAGACACTCAGCCAGCTGGCTGCCACACACCCTGAGTTGGCGTACACATAACTCAAGGCCATATCCTCCCTGTCGCCCCCCCCAGCACTCCAAGGTGCCAAGAGAAACAAACAAGAGCACAACAAACAACAGACCACAGGAAGTGACATGTGAGGCTAGAGCAGCATGCTCCACCTCTAGCAATCTCGCCGGCCGCAAGGCACGGACGAGACCGTATGTGGGGTCTAGTGAGGTGTCTATGGACGCCCTCCTCATGGGCTAGCTGCCTGCGGCTAGCCCTATCTCGCACTCACGGACAGCGACAATCAAATGGGTGAGTGTTTGCGAGCAGAGGCGCGTGGGCTAAATCTAGGCCGCACGTCGTGGCACTATGACGAAGTAGACGTGCGGCCGCAGCGCGCCCGCCGCTGCGCGCTTGCCAACAATATACCTAAAAGAAAAGGAAGTGTGTAGAGACCCGGGTTTGTGCGTTTACTGGACGAGGCAGAAGAGAATGACGCGACAGAGGAGGAAGTGACAAGGGAGAGAACGACGAGAGTGGGACGGCCGCGAGGTGGCATGAAGGTTGCAGCGAGAATCGGCGAGAGACTGCGAAAAGAGATAGGAAGAGGCAGACTCCCTAGGGTGGGCGACGGCTAGCGCACCACACACCAACACCTCTCCTTAAAATCCCTGTGTGGTGGCGGCGTGCCGTCCTCCCATCCCTCCCTTAGATTGTCTGTTTTCTTTCTTTCTTCTTTGTGCCCGGCGTTTCTGAGAGACCCAAGCTACTCGAGGACAACGCACATGAAGCGGAAGCGCCACATACGTACCGCCGCTACGGCCGCAGAGGACGCCATCTCCTTCCAGCATTCAGCATCGGCCCCGCAGCCTCCGCGGGGGAATGATGACCGACGCGACGGGGAAGAGCCGGCAGCGGAGGCGGCTGCAACAGAGCTGGCTATGGAAACGCCGGTGGCAGAGGCCGACGGGGTGCTCCTGCACCTCTCCGGCAAGAGCACAACTGGGTACGCGGGTGTGTCCAAACTCGCCACGGGCCGCTTCAGAGCGCAGCACTACGTGGGCGGAAAGCAGGTCCGCCTGGGCCACTTCGGCACGGCGGTGCAAGCGGCGGTGGCGTACGCGCGGGCGGTAGGGCATGCGCGAGGGCTGGGGGGACAGGTTTCGGACCCGGCGATGGCGGCGCAGACAGCAGCAGACGCGGAACGAGCGGCAGAGGTGGTGCCAGAGGCGGAGGGCCTGCGCCTGCACCTCTCCAGCAACGGCACCGGCTATAAGGGCGTGAGCAGACAATATGACAGAAAATTCCAGGCAGCCTGGACTTTCGACGGAACGCCCCAATACCTCGGCAGCTTTGACACGGCAGTCGAGGCGGCAGTGGCCTACGCACGTGCTTTCGGGGAGGCTTCGGCGGTGGTGGCGGACTTCGAGGGGCTGCGCCTGCACCTCTCCAGCAGCAACCGCACGGGCTACAAGAACGTGTACCAGCAGTCTGCTAGCCGCTTCCAGGCGTTCAACAAAGTGGACGGGAGGCGGCTCTGTCTCGGCACCTTCGACACGGCGGTGGAGGCGGCGGCGGCCTACGCGCGGGCGGTCGAGGTGCCGGTGGTGTGTGATTAGGTGCGATTGAGATGGTACGGGTAGACCGGGTAGTGGTCTTTGAAAAATTCTCTTTCGTAATGGCGGAGTTTTTTTCTTTTCTGTCTGACGCCGAGGATTGACCCCCTCCCCCAAGAGAGCCTCGAGAACAGAGCAAGACTTCGCCGTCTTCGGCGCCAAGTGGCAATGACCAAACACACAGTGCAAGAGACCAAGACGAGAGCGCGCGAGGTGGCCTACATTTTGGGAAAGTGCTCCGCGCTCTCTCGCTCGTGTGGTGTTGCTGTTGGGACGGACGCATCATGAGAGACGCTCCACGCCCTGCGGGCTGCGCCGCGGCCCGCGCGCCCGTTTTCAACTCACCAACTCCCGTCTCACCATCACACCGGAGCTCTGATGGACGGCCCTGACGATCCCTGACACACAGAGAGTCACTCTGATGGCACACAACACCCCATAACTGCGTCATCACCAGCCTGCCATGCGTCGCCGGTGCCGCATTCATCGCAGTGCTTCTTTAGCAGGCGGTGGACTGTCGGCGGCGAGGACGGTCGCATTTGCGCAAGGCGAGGCGAGCATTCAGACGCGTTGCATGCGCCATGACTCGCGCCAGCGCGTGCGGGAGCTCCTGGCTGAGCGTTGAGTCCAGGCGAGTTGCGCTGGCCACTATCGCTACGCCGAGCCGAGCTGACGCGCCGAGGCGCCGGCCAGTCGCAGCCGTGAGGCATGCCACAGCAGCAGAGGCACCTCCCACCCATTGGGCGGGCAGACAGAGGGCCAGGGCAGCACTGGCGAGTGCAACGCGCCTCATGTCGGAGAGCGACCGTGCCTCGTTCGCCGCTTATGATGTAGAGTCTTGTTGTAGAGATTTCACGTTGTAGAGCGCCTCTACATCGCTCTACAACGCACGCAGTTCGTCCCGCGGCGGCTGTAGAGCTCTACAGCTCTACAGACAGCGCTCTACAGCGCTCCAGAGCGCTCTACATCTCTACAGCTCTACAGCGCTCTACACGAAGGCGTCATGAAAGCCAATCCGCATCACTGGGAGTTCTGTTGGCGCCCGACGCTGTCGAGGGATCGCGGGGCAGGGGGGCAGGTAAAAATCTTTCCCTCAGCCAAAAGAAACGGGACGGGAGGAAACGCTCACACAAGTGACGCAGTTGAACTGGCGAGGCACTCCCACGCCTCACGGGGTCCCCCCTTGCCCGGGGGGGCGAGGTGCTGGGGCGAGCCTCGGCGAGACTGCGTGAGCTGTTCCCACAGCCAGGCCTGGAAGTACGACCTCGCCAGCAGTTGAACAGTTCGGGCCTCTCCAGCTGTCCCGCTGTCCCGCTGTCGGCTCTCCAGGTCCGTACGATGGAGGCATTGCTCGATCAAGACAGCGGCCTCGTGCAGATCGCCGCCGCCGACGCAGCGATGCAGCGCGTCGCGGCGCTCGCCGCTGAGAACGACGCCCTGCGAGCGCGCAACACCGAGCTGCTGCAGGAGGCGCTCGCGCTCTCCGAGAGGAACGCCGACCTCGAGCTCGCGGTCGGAAGCCCGGCCGCCGAGGGCGAGGGCGCCGAGGGCACGACGCGCGCCGAGTGGGTCGAGATGCAGGCGCGGCTGCAGCTCCTCGTCGCAGAGCACTCGGAGCTCGAGGCGGCGGCCGCCGCGGCGAGGCGAGAGCGCGACCAGGCGAGCTCGGAGCGCGCGGCGGCCGAGGCCTCCCTCGCCGACGCGATCGGCGCGGCGCAGCGGGCGCGCGCGTCCGAGGCGGCGGCGGTGCAGGCCATCGCCGAGGCGTGCGCGCGGGCGGCCGAGGCGGAGGACGCCGCTGCGACGGCGGCGGCGGCGGCGGCGGCCGAGGCGGCGCGGCTCGAGGCGGCTCGGCGGGAGCTCGCGGCGTCGCGTGCCGAGACGGCGGCGGCGGCGGCGGGGACGGCCGAGCTGCAGCGGGAGGCTGACGCGCTGCGCACCGCCGCCGCCGCCGCGGCGCGCGAGGCGGAGTACAGCGTTTCGCTGGCGGAGGAGCGGGCAGCGGAGCGAGGGCGCGCGGCGCAGGCGCTCGAGCGGCAGCTGCGCGAGGCGCAGAGCTCCGTGGCGGAGCTGGAGGAGACGGCGGGCTTGCGCGGCGCCGAGCTCGAGCAGGTGAACGCCCAGCTCGTCGCGGCCGGGGCGGAGGGGAGGCGGCTCGACTCTCTGGCGGGGCTGGCGAGGCGCGAGGCGGAGGCGGCGGACGCGGCGCGCCACGAGGCGGAGGCGCGGGCGGCCGAGGTTGGCGCGAAGCTGGAGGGCGCCACCAAGCTCCTGCAGCGGCAGGCCGCCTCCTCCAAGGCGGCGGCCGAGGCGGCTGCGCGGCAGCACGCGGCAGAGCTAGCGGCCGAGCGGGAGAGCGCGGCCGAGGTGGAGCGGGCGGCTGCCGCGGCGAGCGACGCGCTGGCGACGCAGCTCGAGTCGACGCGCGCGCTGCTCGAGCGGGAGAGGCGCGAGCGGTGCGACGTGCAGGCCGAGGCGGACGCGTTGCGCGCGGCGGCGGCCGCCCGCGCCGCCGAGGCTGGCGAGCGGTCCGTGGCGGGCGACGTGACTCTGCGCGCCGAGCTCGGCCGCGCAAAGGCGAGGGGAGGGGTCGGGAGGTGGGGCCTCGCGACACCGGTGACGAGCCTTGGTCTCCCCTCAGGTTGCAGCCGACGAGGCTGCCATCGCCGCCGAGCGGGCGCTCGCGCAGGCAGAGGCCCTGCGGCGCAGCGCGACACCGTGCGCCTGCGAATGAAGCTTCCAAGACGGTTGCTACAGGCGAAGGCTGCGCGCGAGGAGGCGAGCCGGATGCGGGCGCGCGCCGAGACCGCCGAGCTGGCGACACCGCCGTACTTGCGCGCCGTACACCGCGGTCTGGCTGCTCTCACGTTCGCCAAGCTGCGGTTCAGGCGACGGAGCGAGAGGCCATCGGCCGGCGGAGGGACGTGGCGGCGGCGGAGGCGCAGCGGGACGCGGTGCGGGCCGAGGCGGCGGCCAAGGGGCGGGCGGCGGACGCGGCCCTCAAGGAGGTGGAGCAGGCGACGCAGCGGCTGCGGGTGGAGCGGCAAGCCGTCGAGCGCTGGGCGAGCGAGGAGATAGCTCGGCTCGGGCAGCAGAAGGAGTCGGTCGAGAGCGCGCTGCAGGAGTCGGTGCAGGCGGCGGGCGCGCTGCAGGAGCTGCTCGCGCAGCAGCACTCCCTCACCGAGGCGTACCGCGAGCACGCGATGGTCTGCACGCAGCAGCTGCAGGAGGCGGCTGCAGTCGGCCCGCCCCGCCCCGCCGAGCGGTCGCGAGACGCCGCCGAGCAGAGGCTGCTCGCCGCGTCGCTCGTGGTGGCGTGAGGGGTGGCGCGTGCGGGGACGGCACGCTATTAGGCGGATCTGTTCTCATCACACGCGAGAGTGTGCAGACGTGAGCGGCGGGGTGTCAGGTATCACGTATCAGAGCACACGAGCGCAGACCGAGATGTGCGCAGGGCTGGCCCGAGGGTAATCAGCACGCTGCACGGGCGGGGGTATTGTGTGGATTGATTTAGAGCATGTTAGTACACCGCAGAAGCCTCTCAGCTAGCAGCTACACCGTCGCGCGTCGGCCCCCCGCCGCACCCCGGTGTCGGCTGTCGCGCTCGCGGCTCGCGCGTCTCGCGAGATGTGAGGCTCTCGGAGGTCGGAGAGCAGTGTTGCAGCAAGTCACAGCAGCGGCGGCAGCGATGCTCTCAGAACGGCGCCTCCCTGCCTACCTCGAGGTCGTGAGGAACCTGCGGCGGCGGCGGCCGCTGCCTGCGGCGGCGGCGGCCGAGATAAGCCGCAGCGCGGCCGAGTGGCGGCGGTGGCGACGCGGACTGCGGCGGCGGCAGGTCGTCGGTGGACCGCAGTGGCTCCGCAACGGGCACCTCGGGCGACGGGAGCGCCGCGATGGTGCTCTGCAGCCAAGCGCGCTGCACCGACTGGGGTGCCGGCGAGGGGAGTACGCGCTTCGACTTCAGGCGTTCGCAGAGGCGGCGGCACTTGCGCTCTTCCACGCCCTCGACCGCGTTGCCCGCCACCACGTCGCGACGGCCACCCCGTCTGCCAGTCCTCGGGTCGAGAGCGCTTGCTGCGCCGTCGAATCCAGCAGGGTCTTGGCGGCGTTGGTAGATGAGTTGAAGAGGAACATGCCGCCCGTGCTGGCATCGTGGTAGGCAGTCCATGCATTGGCGTTCGGTGAGACTCCAGCGACCGCCGCGCTGACCGTGAGGAGCGGGAATCGGTGAAGCCGATGCCACTCCGGGCCGATACAAATAGGCGGCGCGGGCGGCGACCTCGCCCGCTTTCTGCGATTGTGACGCCGGCGCAGCGAGACGGAAGAGGGCAGCATTTGGGGGGCTCTTTGAAGAGTTGAGAAGCTGTCGGTTTGAGTCTCGGCCTGAGTGTCGGTGATGACACTGTCACGTTCTCGAGGTTCTCGAGGTGGATATCCTTTGGCCGCGTTGGGTAGCGAGGATTGGTGTAACCCGAGCCACGGAGGCGTGTTTTCTGACGGCCGACCGTCAGTGCACGGAGTTGCCCCTTCTCCGACTGCCCCGGCTAGTTCCCGAGTTTCGCGGGAGTGACCCCATGCGTCAAACCCGAGACCTAGCGCGAGTGGGTTGGAGGGGGGCTCGCTGCAGGGAAGGGCTGTGTAAGAAGCCGATCCCCGTAGTCCGCCCCGCTCCTCCCCATCGGGCCGCATGAGCGGCCACGCCTCGCAGATTCGTTTTCGCGCCTGGGTCAGGCGCGCGGGGCATCCCCCGGGTCGCTCACGTCCCGAAAGAAGAGAAAGGCGCGCCCTCGTGTGCCGAGCGAGAGTAGAATTCCGGCGTTTTCACATTTCTCGTCCTATTACACCATTAGTACCGTGTGCTATCGAGAGCCGCATCATGGCTTAATTAACCCTTTCAGGCACACATTTCGAGCGCGAGCGAACAAACACGGCAGCTCCTGAGCACGGCTGTGTGGACGCCATGGCGCGGCCTTGGCTTCACGCCATGGACGCCACTGTGGGGCTCGCCTGGCGTTCTCGCCCGGTCGGCACCCTTGTGTCGGGACGCCACGTCGTGATCGCCCATTGTGGTCGACACTGAGGTCGCCAACTGTGGACGCCAGCAGCTTACCTTTGGCTTGCTATTGGCATGCCTCTGGCTTGCCTCTGGAGGACTCGGTCATCCGTCCTCGGACAGCTCCACCTCAGGCCCAATGCCTTGGCGGCGGCGGGTTGGGGAGCTGTCTCTCTGGGCGCCACGTTGCATACTGTCTTGCACGTGGCCCCAGTGGAATTCTGCCTATGTGGGCCGGCCTCTTCCTTGCCGCACCAGTACGGTTCCTGCGCTGCCTGCATTGCAATCGACATTGCGGCGGCATATGCGGCGGCATTGTGACGGAACGTCTCTACGTCTGGGAGCACGGAACCCATCGCCGACGATATGATGCGCCTGCCCCACTGGCATGGGATCAGGGCGAGATGTCATCACGCGAGATTGCGCACGACTCGGACGATGGGGTTCGAGAGAGCAAGCAGCCCAACGCTGCGAGCCGACGGCCGCGCTCTTTCGGCGCGGCACCGGTACTCGAGTAGTTTGGATCGCGTATTTTGGGTATTGCTTGCTGTCCCCCTCTCCTCACGTTGAAGGATAACCTTCATAGCAAGCTATGTCCGACTCTCCCAACAACTGTTTTCGTCCCGTCTCTCCCGAGAGCGAGACGCGAGACGCCGAGAGCCCCTGTGCACGTCGAGCCACGTGAGCCGACGCGAGGCGAGATCAAGTTCGAATTCAAGTTGCGGAGTTTGAACAACGGCGCACGAGAGTCACTGGATGAAAAACTTCACCTTTTCTCTTCTCCGCGCTGCGGGGCGGCCGCCGCGTGGGGCGCACGGAGTAAGAGCCTAGACCGCGGCGCACACCGCATCACCTCCGCTTGCCTCGCGCTGGCTGCTCCTTGAGCACGGCGTGCGTCGGGTTGGCCTTGATGTGCTGGAAGAGCTTGTTCCTACTGCCGCACTCGAGGCCACAGACCTTGCACAGCGTCGCGCTCTCGCCGTCCTCGCCGTCGCCGCCCACCGCGGCCGCCTGCGCCTGCTGGCGCTGCGACTTTTTGGCGCGTCGCCGCGCCGCGGCGTTGAGCACCTGCCCCAGAGCGGCGTCCGGTGTCTCTGCCGACTCCACGACCGCTGCTGCCTCGCGCTCCTCCTCCTCCTCGCTCTCCTGCTGCTGCTGCTGCTGCTCGCGCCCTCGCTGCTGCAGCTGTTGCTCCTCGCCCTCGTCCTCGTCCTCGTCGTCGTCCTCGTCCTCTTGGGCCAATGCTGCCATGCCAGCGAGCCTCTTTCTCGCCAGCAGCAGGATCGCCTCCTCCTCCTCGCTCTCCTCCTCCTCCTCCTCCTCCTCTCCCTCCTCTACGCTCACTGCCGCCTCCTCCGCCCCGCTCGCCTCGCCTCCCGAGTCCGAGCCGCTCGCAGCCTAAGAAAAAAGAAACCGGTCGAGTGGTGTTTCGTTTTTGCCTCCCGAGTCCGAGCCGCCCGCAGCCTCCATTGCTGCAGCCGCCTCAGCCGCCTCGGACGCCTCGGCCAGCGCCGCCGCCTCGTCCTCCGCTAACAGGTCTGCCCGCAGCTGCCGCACCCGCTCGACGTGCTTCTTCGACTTCTCGTGGTTCTGCCACTGCTTGGCGCTCCGGAAGTTCTTGCCGCAGGCGACGCAGTAAAAGGCGTCCGCCTCCTCCGCCGCCCCCTCCTCGGCCGCCTCCTCGCACCCGCCGGCAGGCAGCATGCCCGCAGCCGCACCGCCCTTCCCCTCGGCCGCGTCCGCGTCGGCCGCCGAAGTCCCGCCCTCGCCGCCTCCCCCGCCGCCTCCGCCTCCGCCCTTCTTGCCCTTCTTGCCCTTCTTGCCCTTGCGCCTCCTCCCCTTGTCCTCCTCCTCGTCCGAGTAGCCCTCCAGCAGCCGGTCCAGCTCCGCCCCCTCCTCTGTATCCCACGCAGCGGCGCGCTCCTTCCGCTCCTGCGTGCGCGCGAGGTCGTGCTCCGCCTGCCGCTGCCTGCGCTCCGACTCGGCGCGCGCCGCCGCCTCAGACCGCTCCCGCCCAATCCGCGCCTGGTTCTCCGCCACCCGTGGGTCGCGCTTCTTGACGTACGCCGCGAGGGCGCGCACGCACTCGTTTGCCTTTTTGCGAGCCGCGGCGCGCGCCTTGTCGTTCTCCTTCTCCATCGCGCGCCGCACCTGCCGGTTGGGCGCCTCGCGCGTGTCGTACAGGTCCACGTGCGCCATCGAGCGCCCCGTCGAGAAGGCCTCCCAGTGCGCGTAGAAGCCGCGCACCTCGCTCCACGCGGCGTCCGACCGGCCGAGCTCCGGAGCCGGCGGCTTGCCCTTGGCGCCGCTGTCGCGCTCCGCCTTGTCGACGGCCTCGAACACGCGGCTGTACGCCGCGTAGAAGCCACGCTCGTCGTCGCCGAAGCCCGAGTAGGCGGACGACGAGAAGTACGCCCACAGGTCAAAGCCGCCGTCGTCGTCCTCGTCGCCGCCGCCCGCGGAGCCGCCGCCGGCGCCGCGCAGGATGGCCTCGCGGTGGTCGTCGTACCATGCGCGCTCGTGCTTATCCGAGAGCACCGCGTAGGCGGACTGGATCTGCTTGAAGGTCTCGGTGGCGAGCTCGATCTGGTCCTGGTTCTTGTCGGGGTGCCACTTGAGCGCCAGCTTGCGGTACGCCTTTTTGAGCGCGTCGTCGTCCGCGTCCCGCTCGACGCCGAGCACCTCGTAGTGGCACCTCATATGGACGCTCAGCGGGGACGCTCAGGAGCAGCCCGTCAGCCTCAGTGGACGCAGCGGCGAAGAAGAATTTTGCCACCCTGTCCCGTTTTGCTGTTCACAGCTCGCCGCCGGCGACGAGCCAGCATGGCTCGTCGCTCGACGGGAGCCTGCCCAGCATGCTCTCGGCACTCTGTACCGCCTCGACAAGCTGTCTGGGAAGGCCGACAGGGCCAGGGCGGGCCGTCTCGGGCGCGATGGCGCGCTGAATACTACCATGACTACGAGCTCTCGATCAGGTCGCCGGCAGCGGGCTTGCGCGGCGCGCTGCTCGACGGCAGGCTGCTCTCCAACCTTTCAACAGTGTGTCTTTTACCTCGCTCCTCTCGCTGCAACCGCCTGCGGGGGCCAGCATGAGCGCCCAACTTGAGAATCGTGCTTTTTTGGTTAGGTAGGGCGAGTAGATGAGCGACTTGCTGACGCCGTCGAAGACGCTCGCTCCCTTCTTCTGCGCCTCGAGGAGGCTCCGCAAGGCCGTTGGCGCTCGACAGCCAACGCATGCGCCTGAGCGTGAGTCTGATGGCACACGTCATGGATTTCATAATAGACAGCCATCCGGGAACCGCTGTGATTCTGTGTGAGCTCTGTGTCTTGATTTGCCAACAATATACCTACGCTGGTTTAGCTCGTGGGGCATCATGCCCGCCAGACTTCATCCAGGTACGCCTCTTGCGGCCGTCCCATGCTCCGCCGAAGACATCGATATAGCTCCGCACGGACTGCACACACACACGCCGCCTACCAACACATGGAGACGGGCGACGCGCCACCATCCTATTCGGCCAGCAGAGCCGAGCCGTCAAGTGCCACAGACGCGCCGACGGACATCGTCGAGTCGCGGCAGTCGACAGACATCGTCGAGTCGCTCAAATACCCAGAGGCGGAGCGGGTGGACAGCGTACTGGAGGGCGGCGCAGAGCGGAGCCATACGGCACCCGTCGCCATAGCCGCGGCCGAAACCGCTCAGCCCGTACGGGGCCAGCTCGTCCAAGGCCAGCCCGTCCAAGGCCAGCCAGTCCAAGGCCAGGTGCAGAGTCCAACAACAAGCGACATTCAGGTGCCAATTCCTCCCCAGTCCAGAGCAGGCGACATGCTGCTCGTGACAACGCATTCGGGGCGGCAGCTGGAGGTGACGGTTCCTCCCAATGCGGGCGCTGAAGTGACGGTCACCTACGCGAGAGACGGCGGAGCTGCACAGAGAGCAACAGATGAGGCGATTCATGCGCAGAGGATCCGTACCACGCAGAAGGAAGACCGGCGAAGGTGCTGCATCCTAGCAGTTGGACTCACCTCAGGAGGTGTCATGGTATGCCTGGGGATAGTGGCAGGAGTCATCGCCTTGATCGTCTACTTCATCATCGACCCGCTGAAAGAGTTGTCGGAGTGTCGGTGAGTGCAAGAAACCCCACTGTTCGGCAGCTTCAGCTGTGCGTAAGAGACTGTGCGTAAGAACCCTTTGGCCAGGGCAGTGAACGACTCGGATCTTAGCCCGATAGGCATCCTGTTCCGGTTAATTACGGAGTGCACGGAACACGCTTTGGTTAAAAGCGCCGCGTCTCAATCTGTGACGGTGTAAAACACACTGTGGCCGAGTGTGCTCCCTACACCACCAGGAGCCGCAAAATGACCGGCGTCGCGCCGTCGAGGAAGCGCTGCCACGCCTCGGCCTGCCCCGCCTCGGCGGGCGCGCTCTCGGCCGAGCTCTGCAACGAGAGGACCGCCGCGATGGCCGACCAGCGGCTCGGAGGCGCCGGCGGCTCGGGCGGCTCTGCGGGCGGCGCGGGCTGTGTGCTGCCCGCCGCCTGCTGTCCCTTTGGTCCGGAGTAGGCAGGCGGACTTGGCGTAGTTGGGGTCGTTGTAGTCGGGGCACTCGAGGCTGAGTGGGTCCCAATCGGCGGCGGAGAAGTCCAGGTCACCGCCGTCGGCGGAAGGCAGCCGCAAGGCGCCCTCGGCCTTGACAAGGCGGATGAAGCTGGGCGTGCCCATGATGAGGCGAGCGACGGGTAGGAGGTCAGGGCGTCGCTTGCGGATCCAGTCGAGGAGCTTGACGCGCCCACAGCCGTTGGGGTCAGGCTTTTGTTGTCGGCCGTGAGCGCCTGGGCGATCGTGTTGTAGAAGTTCTCCTTGTCGCCCGAGATGGTCGCGTTCTCCGGCTTCGTGCCGTGCCACCCCGCGACGGTGTGTGGGCGTACAGGTGAGTGCCGTTCTTGGAGAACGGTACCTAGGTACCTCCTGTATCGGAGTTTTGTTAGTATCGAGGTCTCGGGAGTTTTGTGCGCGATAAATTCGTGCCGTCCGCGGCGAGCCGAGCCAGGCCACGGCGCTCGGCCTGTTGAGAGAAGACCTTCCCGGACGGCAGTGACAATTTACCCGACATCAATCGTCGACGGCAAGCTCGAGAACTGCGCCTCCAAAGTCGCCCAGATTCGCCTCTCGCGGCGCGCTGAGTCAGTATCGCCGGTGCGCCAGCCAGCTCTGCTCCACAGCAGGGCATGCCTGACTGGCTCCTGCTAGCCGTGCGTCCTGGTGGCATCCATTGCCAGCTCAGGTAGCCTCAGGAGGTCGCCTCGCGCACAACTCGGCGCCGCACAGCACCGCTCCGCGTTACTACCGAGTTAGTATCGTCGACCCACAGAGACTGCTCTTCTGTAGGTGGAGCCGACAAACGCCGGCCGGGTCGGCCCCGCCGCCCCCATCGCCGCCGCCGGGGCGGCTGCGGCCTCGGCGGACCATCCGGCGCGCCGCGCGCCCGACGGGGAGGCGTTCACCACTCCTGGATCCTCACCCTGCCACGCCTTCGTGCAGACGCCGTGGCACCCACCTCAGGCGCCGCTCGGACTCGGTTGACGGCCGCCCAAGTGCTTGGCTCGTGCCCAGCCGACCGGCAGGCGATGCCCACTCGCTGCTAGGCTAATCTCGGGCTGTCTTGCGGCGGTGTGGTGCCGTGAAGGGCACCCGGCACAAAACTACGATAGTTAGTACCGTGCGGGGGCAGTGCATTTAATTCTGTCAAAAATCGAAATGTGCTCTGTGGGACTTATTGGGCTAGGGTCATACGTCCGGGAGGCCCCCCATGCGTGCCGTAACGAGCCACGGTGCGGTATGACTCTGTTCACGTTCACACCTCTTCAATAGCGCAAAACTCCGATACGTGAAATGAGCCCACGGCTCTACTAGTGTAGCCAAACGTCAGATTCGACTGGAGAGTACCCGGCATGGGCCGGGGAAAACCATCGAGTGCACGATGTTCACACCCTGACAGGGGAATCCTGTATTGGGGACGGGCGCACGAAACGGACGGTTTCGATGCTCGACGTCTCGTGCCCGACTCTGACTCGCGCGACTGCTTCTGGCTGCTCGTTCCGCATTCTTCTATGGCCAGTACTGTCCCGGATCCTTCGTCACAGGGCGCGACGACGCGGCACGCGGCGCGGCGCCGCGGCAGTGACACCCGTCATGACGACGCATCACGCAAGCCTTCTGGGATCACATCGCTTGATTTTCCGCTGGTGGATGGAATCAAGAAGGCGGTGTAGACGTGCGTGCGGAGGTGGTCGCGCCGTCCGTCACCTCGCAACGGACGCGGAGTACGCGGACTGAGGCGCCTCGTCGGGGGAGAGGGCATGCAGGAGCTCCCGTCAGGCATGGGGAGAGGGCATGAGGAGCTCCCGTCAGGCATGGGCGAAGTGCACAGGGAGTGACGGGGATGCTAGAGGCGGTGAGTGGCAGCATCAGACAGCGGCGCTGTCTTGCACCTGTCGGAGCTGGCACTGGTGCAGCAAGGGGTTTGCCTCAGGTCACGGAGCCAAGCGCCGCACAAGCCGCTGAGGCCGCTGACTGAACAGGAGCTGGTGAGATGCTGCGTACGGACTCGACGTGCTCGGCTCTACGGCGTCACGCCGTCGTGGCTCTGACGAGGCGCACGGCACGTCGTGAACGAGGTCGCTCTTATTCCGCCATCAGCAGCGCGCTGCGCAGGCCACTGAGGCCGCAGAGGGAACAGGCCTGCACAGCTGCGAGCTCGACCGCGAGCCTCGATAGCGGGCGCGAGCTGGACCGTGTTGGGGCGCGGTTCAATCTCGATCATCACGCCGTCGTGGCGTTGGCGAGGCGTGTGGTGCGCTGGCAGCGCCGCCGCCGCCTGCTCTCCTTCATCTCGAGGCGGGATCGCGAGCTCGGGCGAGCTCGGGCGAGCTCGAGCGAGATGTCGGACATGGACTCGACGTGGTCTGCGTGAGCTGATGTCGATCATCACGCCGTCGAGGCGTTGGCGAGGCATGGGGCGCGATGGCAGCGCCGCCGCCGCCTACTATCCTTCATCTCGTGACGAGATCGCGAGCTCGGTGATCTCGGGTGATCTCGAGCGAGAGGTTGGACATGGACTCGACGTGGTCTGCGTGAGCTGATGTCGATCATCACGCCGTCGAGACTTTGGCGAGGCGTGGGGCGCGCTGGCAGCGCCGCCGCCGCCTACTCTCCTTCATCTCGTGACGAGATCGCGATCTCGGTGATCTCGGGTGATCTCGAGCGAGATGTCGGACATGGACTCGACGTGGTCTGCGTGAGCTGATGTCGATCATCACGCCGTCGAGACTTTGGCGAGGCGCGGGGCGCGCTGGCAGCGCCGCCGCCGCCTACTCTCCTTCATCTCGTGACGAGATCGCGAGCTCGGTGATCTCGGGTGATCTTGAGCGAGAGGTTGGACATGGACTCGACGTGGTCTGCGTGAGCTGATGTCGATCATCACGCCGTCGAGGCTTTGGCGAGGCGTGGGGCGCGCTGGCAGCGCCGCCGCCGCCTACTCTCCTTCATCTCGTGACGAGATCGCGATCTCGGGCGAGCTCGGGCGAGCTCGAGCGAGATGTCGGACATGGGCTCGACGTGGTCTGCGTGAGCTCGGACGGAGGCGTTAGGACAACGCAACCCTAACCCGTAGCCAAATTGGCACTCGGGCGTGTGCGCGCGTAGACACTACTCTCCTTGCTGTGTGTCCCTACGGCATATTAATGCCGATAAATGCCTCAAGAGCCGAGTGTGGGCCGGAAAGCCCAGCACTCTCTCGCCAGGAAGCATCGCAACACAAAGAGCTACGTGAAATGAGCCCACGGCTCTACTAGTGTAGCCAAACGTCAGATTCGACTGGAGAGTACCCGGCATGGGCCGGGGAAAACCATCGAGTGCACGATGTTCACACCCTGACAGGGGAATCCTGTATTGGGGACGGGCGCACGAAACGGACGGTTTCGATGCTCGACGTCTCGTGCCCGACTCTGACTCGCGCGACTGCTTCTGGCTGCTCGTTCCGCATTCTTCTACCCACCACCATCCCCTTATCTCCTCCAGTGTCTGAGCAGTCGAACCGTATGGCAAGGCCAAGCTGCTCAACTTGAGGGGACGAGGCCAGCATTAGCAGTAGTGTCGCTAGCTTAGCGGTGGGATATGCACGCGCCAACGCCCGTCCAGGACGGACGGAGGCGTTAGGACAACGCAACCCTAACCCGTAGCCAAATTGGCACTCGGGCGTGTGCGCGCGTAGACACTACTCTCCTTGCTGTGTGTCCCTACGGCATATTAATGCCGATAAATGCCTCAAGAGCCGAGTGTGGGCCGGAAAGCCCAGCACTCTCTCGCCAGGAAGCATCGCAACACAAAGAGCTACAGGGAGGTAGTTCTTCGGGAAGTTGACAGGCGCACGGGCGCGCTCCTCCGCAGCCTCGGCCGCCTCGAGGTCGGCGAGAGCGGCCGTCGCCTCGGCCGTGGCGGGCAGCGATTTGCGAGGATGGAGAAGTGGCGCAAGCGCGGCGGCGGCGACCTGGAGCCGGTCCTCGCGAGCAGCGCCGTCGCCCTCCTCGACGCGCAGTGGATCATCCGCCACGCCGAGGCGGGCGGCACCCTCACTCACCGCCAGGCGCTGCCCGAAGAGGCCTTCCTCTCCCTCGCTGACCTCGTCAAGGCAATCCATGAGGATGCCGTTTTCCTTCCCGTCGCCGCGCTCTCCTACCCGTGGCTGACCAAGGACCACCCCGACCCGCGGGGAGCCAACCTCGCCCGCGTCGCGAGGGCGCTCAGGGCCCTGCTCACCGCTGAGTACATCCCGCGGCTCGGCGTCTTTTGGGACTTCGGTTCGCTGCACCAGCACCCCGACCCCGCCAACGGCGTCGTGCGCACCGAGGAGCAGAACGCGCTCTTCAAGCAGGGGCTGGGCTGCCTCGGCACGCTCTACTCCCACCCGCAGACATTCGTGCTGCGGCTGACCTCCTTCCCGGACGGCCACGAGGCGGAGGACCACGCCGAGGGCACCAACGTGGCCAAGTACTTTGACCGCGGCTGGTGCTACACCGAGAACGCCTGGGCGAGCCTGACCAAGGACGGCTTCCTCTCGCTCGACCTCGGCCAGATGCGCGACGGCGAGGAGTACGGCTTCCACAGCCTCACCGGCGACTGCACCCAGAGCGGCGGCCGGCGCCCTCCGCTGCTGCCGTCTGTGTTCGCGGCGGAGCTGGAGACGAAGAGCTTCACCAACGGCAAGGACGACAAGCCGCTGGTGAAGCGGCTGTACGAGGCCGCCTTCAAGGAGCAGTTTGGCAAGGCTACCGTGCTGGACTACACCAGCCTCGACTGGGGCGACGCGGAGGCGGCGCAGCTGGCGGAGGTCCTCGCGAGCGGGGCAGCGCCGCGGCTCGGGACGCTCTATCTCAGCAACAACAAGATTGGCGACGAGGGTTGCAAGGCGCTGGCCGCCGCCCTCGGCAAGGAGGGAGCAGCGCCGCGGCTCGAGTTCCTCGATCTCGAAGGCAACCAGATTGGCGACGAGGGTTGCAAGGCGCTGGCCGCCGCCCTCAAGGAGGGGGCCGCCCCGAGCATGAAGGCGCGAGACGCCCCGCCCCCTCGCCACACGCCCCTCCCCGGCCCAATGCTCATCGCACCTCCCCTCGCGTGCAGACGCTCGTCGTGGGCAGCAAGAAGCAGCCTGAGCTGGTGGCCGTGTGCGAGGAGCGCGGCATCGACCTCTAGTGAGCCACCCAAGCCGCGGCACCGTTTGGCACGTCCTCTTGGGACGGCTCGATCGCGGTCTTGGCGGTTTCCCGCGACATCGGGTTTCCCTCTCGCGCCTCGTCGGCCCTCTCGCGCCTTCCAGCAGACACTGCGGAAGGCGGTGAGATCTGCCTGTCGTTTTCCTTTCGGTTTGTTCGTTTGGAAGGTCACTTGGAGCACGTGCGTCGTTCGTCGGACTCAACCCTGTAGAGGTACAAACGTGGGCGGCGGCCACGGTGCGGCTGGAACTTGGTCCGCCTTTCCCACTCATAAGGCCCTTTTCTGCGCTAAAATGTGCGCTCCGCGCCCCTAGCACCGCGCCGTCTCCCCCGCCGTGCCCGCGCCACATGTCACCTCGTACTCCCGCGCGCGGTTTCCCTGGTCCGCCTCCCCCCCGGCCACTCGGCTCTACGCGCCCGGCGGGCTCGGCCTCGCAACTATGTGTGTGCGGTGAGCCGCCCCACCGTCGGGCGCGATCGGCCTTTGCGGCGCACAGGATGGTACTTCCCGATTTATGTGGCGCATACCACCGCCCCCCCAACCCTCAGCACCCTCATGGCAAGCACTACGCCAATTATTCAGTGACAGAAAAATCGGTATCTCACGGAATCCAACCAAAACCGCTGCAGGTCCGGGCGGGGCCGAAAGCGGCCTTTGCTGCCAGAGAGCTACAACGTCAAGAAGGTCATCGCGTGGCGGCAGAGAGCTGGGGGGATCGAGCTTCTGACCGCTTGGGAAGACTACGAGGTCGATGGTTGGACGTGGGAGCCCCTCGACAACATCCCCGAGCGGTTTGTTCGGGCCTTTCACGCGCAGCGCGAACGTCTCCCGCCATCCTTTTTCTACGTCGTGACCAGGATGCGCGACCAGATCGCCTTCAAGGTGATCGAGAGGACCGGCCCGATGTTTGGGCTTGCTGTCCTGGTCGAGGAGGCCTCCCTGCGCGAGTATGCGCTCGCGCTGCTGCAGTACTTCTCTACTCCTCCGAGCGGCA